GTTCGGGTTCGCACTTTCGTTTACATTTCGGGGAAACAAATATGCGCAAACATATATATTACTTTTTAAAATGCTTGAACGACAAGTGATATAAATGGATGGAAAAGAACAATTGCTGATGTATGGAATTGATTTCTCAACTTTGCACATTCAGCCCCATCCCACAAACATTTCCGTTTTGAGCTCATCCATGTTACCAACACGGCAGTGAATATATATGGTATATATAGTATAAATTATTGTATTTATACTATGTCATTGAAATTGGGACAACGTATAAGGCGGTGAGTAGACCGAGATTAAGAGGCGTGTATGGTGGCCCATCGTTGTCACGTGTAAAATTTAAAAAAAAATGAAAAAATAAAATGAAAAAGCGAAAATAAAAAAATAGTTGTGAAAAAACATGAAAATAATTGAAAAAAAAAAAATAAAAAAAATTTAAATTAAAAAAAAATTGAAAAATAAAACAAACAAAAAAATTTAAAAAAAATTGAAATTAAAAAAAAAATTAAAAAAAAAAAAAAAATTTGAAAAAAAAATTGGATAAAAAGAAAATAAAAAGGTTGACAACGATGGTCCGCCTCGTGGCCCATCGTTGTCACGCATTTTTATTTTTAGAAAATTTGATGCTGCTTGGGACCAACGTTGTCAGACTTAATCCTACACGCACAAATGTGTTTCCTGGGTTTCTAACTCACTACTGATTTTCATGACCAATATCCAATAAATTCAACATGGAAATGTTCTACAAATTCTCCATGCTACAAGTTCAACCACAAGCAATATATTTATAATAAGGATAAGAGAATATAGAATTGGATACGAAAATTTGTTTTTACGTGTAGAAGGTAATTTAATTGGAAAATGCTGCTTAACTGCTCAGACACTCGTGCGATGCCGGTACGGTATCGTCTGACCGTACCGGTACCCATGCAATCACTCGTGAAAGAATGGGAGATGATGAGTGATTTTATGGCTACCGGTACGGTCAGACGCAAAGCGACTATAACCGACTACCGGTATTTGGTAAGACGGTACGGTACCGGCATCGCGAGTGTTCAGACAACTGAGTAGTTGGGCAGCATTCTCCAATTAAATTACCTTGTACACGTAAAAACAAATTTTCCGAATTTTCGTATTCAATTCTATATTCTCTTATCATTATTATAAATATATTACTTCTTGTTGAACTTGTAGCATGGAGAATTTATAGAACATTTTCATATTGAATATTGCTCAAGAAAATCAGTAGTGAGTTTGAAACCCAGGAAACACATTTGTGCGCGTAGGATTATGCCTGACAACGTTGGTCCCAAGCAGAAGCAAATTTTCTAAAAATAAAAACGCGTGACAACGATGGGCCACGAGGCGGACCATCGTTGTCAACCTTTTTATTTTCTTTTTATTCAATTTTTTTTTTAATTTTTTTTTTTTTCATTTTTTTTTTTTTTTTTTTTCGTTTTTATTTATTTATTTTTTTTAATTTTAATTTTTTTTTTCATTTTTTTTTTAATTATTTTTATGTTTTTTTACAAAAAATTTTTTATTATCGGTTTTTTATTTTATTTTTATTTTCAATTTTACGCGTGACAACGATGGGCCACCATAGGCGTGGGTGCCCAACGCCATTTGTTTATTAGGACCTTTCTAAGAATTGATCGTCCTATTTTGAATACCCGCTAGTCGTGATCCATTGCAAATATTCGAGAGGCCACAAATTAAAGTCGGAGTTCTTGCGGTGCTACAATAAGACCAAAACCAACGGATATGTAATACAAAAACCTCTGTGATAAGACGGCACATGCTTACTTCAAAGGTTCATTTTCCGTCGAATTTTATAAGAAAGTGATGATGACGAATCCGCGAAACGCATTAAGTTTGGTGGCGATAAGCTAAAGTCTTTTTCCAGAGAATTAGCCTACTTAAATTTAATGAGATTCACATTATTTAAGCATAAATTTGAGACGGTGTTATTCAAAAATTTGAAGACCACATCAGTCCTGAGATAAACTTTGTCTATGTATGAACCGTAAATAATCGATTCACCATGTTAAATAGTATTACACTATTAACACTTCATGCTTGGTTGATTGTAATATAGTCTCATATTTTTTGAATAAATATTCCTAAACCAGTATAAGTGAGCAGTTTAAAAGCGCATTGAAAAGATAGTCCGTGCTCATGTGGAGAGTAACGTTGTTTACAATAAATAGTCGACCAGCTTTAATTTTACAATTTTCGACATGCGATTAATGTTGCGCGTTTTAAATCTGTTTATAGAACAATATAATCCGACAAAACCGCGGCGCCGCCTGATCGCGACATTTTCCCAGCAGGCGAAATAAAAAAAATATGGAAAACTGAAAGTGCTCAAACAAGAACAAATCTTTTTCGAGAAGTAAAAGTTACAAGACTCATAGATTTCATGGCGTAATGAACAATTAACCAAAACGAAGACATAAATTTTTTTTTATTTCAATGAAAATGACTTAGGGTAAAGAATGTACGTAGTACGCTATTTATGTGCATTGTCATGGGAATACGACATGTAGTTACAAACATCTCAAAACTTAATAAGTTTGAATATAGCAATGCTCCTTCCTGACCAACTACACCGCAACATCTACAATGAAGAGTTCTTCATCACATTATAACCCGGGGTTCCTGTAAGCTTGGCACATCTACCCGCAGGTCTGAGACGATAACCTTTCAATGTCCACGTCGGTTTCTCATTTGGCGACGTAAATTATATGTGGCACGTAGCTCGCTATATATTTATTTTATATATTTTATTATATATGAATTATTACTGAATTGCCGAGCCAACCGTTTTGGGGTTGCATTGATACTTTATGAGATAGATATACAATGTGCCCATAAAGCCTCTTTTCCAGTATATCCCTTTAAGACGTTTAGGTCTATATGAACTATAACATTACTTATTTTAATTGTTTTTGGTCAAAACTTGAATGTCGCTCAATTTAGAATTAATCTGTTTATGGTTTATATTTTACATAACTGAACCTAACGTCGGTCGGTCATTGCTATTGACCTTTTCATTTTCTAGAACTGTTATTATTAATCTTGTCTTGTGGGAGCTATTTTGCTATTGTGGAAATAATATTTTATAGTATTCTTTATGAAGGTTGCCATTTTAGTATAAAGCCGGAACTGAACTGAAGCCTGATTCCTTATATAGACAATATCAATAGCGGGGTTGAACTCAGAGGTGTGATAAACAGTTCCTTCAAAATATTTACCAACATGTAACAAAATACTAGATTTTTCTTATGCGCTCTACTTCCAACGTTTTAGGATTCGCCAACAAAATGCATCGAAAAAGGAAAGCTTGAGTCTATTTTGTTTTTTAAAATAGACTGTCGTAAAATATATATCATGGTCTGGGAATATCCAAGTACGCAATTTAAGGATTCTGGATTCAAAATATTCTTAAAATTTTCATGTTTCTAATATTAGAAATTACAGTTAATTTATCGAAATTTAAACCCTATTTAAAACCCTTTGAAATTATGAGCTTTCTATAAAAATCACGGTTACCCAAAACCGTGTCGTGTAGGCTACGTAGAATGAGTTCAAATTTTTTATTAATATTGAAATATATTCATTTCAAATATCATTCAATTTTAATATTTAAGAATTGCTGGGGCATAATTTTCACGTGGGATTCCCTAAAAGTGTGACATTGCAAATTTCCATTCGATTACTAGGAAAACCGTTGTAATCGAAAGATTTCAGGTAGATTTACAACACCTGTTACTTGCTCATATCCCGATTGTGTCAAAGATAACGCTTTGATCACCGTTGTAGGTCAACGTTTGTGTTTATACTACACAAGATGCCTCCTGCCAGTCAAGTAGATTTTTTTCAAATTGTCCAGATGAATAATAAACTGCTAATTGATTTGATAATTAGTCAATCACATTGGAATTTTATAATTATTGTACACATTTTATGTTGAGATATGTAAATTAATTAGTTGTTATAACAATTACTTTATATACATATATTTAATAGTGTGATAAAATTTTATATCAGATCCCAGCATTTTGATATGTCCATCATAGTTCATACCTAAGTTCATACCTAACATATTACTGTAACACATATCTTTCACCTTTTTTACTAATTTTTTTGGCATAATCGTATATTGCGCAAAGCGCATGACAATTTATACGTAGTAGAACGGAATGCTAATCAAATAGTTTTCAAGTCAATAAAAATTTGTCAAATGAAATGACATAAGGAATAATTTGTATTGATATTTTTAGAATACTTTTATTATTTTTTAAATCTGTCGCGATTTTCTATTCATAAACGTATATCTACGATGAAACAAAACCTAATGGCGTGGAAAAGTTTATATAACGGTGTAGTATCGATTGACGTTTAACGCAATGAACTTACTTCTGTGATCGCCATTAAAAAGGAAATTTGTTATACATACCACCATCAATCTATACTCCTTTCAAATTACGCTAAAGAGATCTGTTTAATGTCATCATGCGTCAAAATACGACGGCTTTAGGCTGAATTTACTAGGCATTGCGTATAAAATCATTTTGATTGAAATATAAATGGCCATATGTATTACGTATCCCATGTTATACTCTTTTTGCGGGCATTATGGAAGCCTACATTTTCCAGTTGTCATCATGAAGTTGTACAATGTGACATGCTATTAATAAATGTACATGTGTCTATTTCATTATGTGTGGATTTGAAACGAATTCTTCAATGCCAAGCATTTTCATTCGTATGATAAGTATTCACACACATTGCAATAGAATGAAAATAAGAATTATTACTTTCACCATATTCTCAGTGTAATAATAACAATAGAGGTCCTATTTTTTGTTATCATAATCTGTTCTATGATATTCGCACTTATATAATCTTAATAAAGCCTTGGATTGCGTGAACGTATTTCAGATATCAAAAAAACGGTATTGAAATAAGCTTTATATATCAGTATCTCTCACCTCCACTTTGTTCTTCGATTTTGAAACCACGTTTTTACTTGTGCGTCTGTCATTTTCAATGTTTTAGCTAGGGAAGCACGTTCGGAACTTGCAAGATATTTTTGCCGATGGAATCGCTTTTCAAGCTCGCAGATTTGGATTCGAGTGAACGATGTTCTTGGCTTCTTTTTCTTAGGTGGCGTTCTACTCTGATAAGGATGCCCAACTCGTCGTGTTACTGTAATGAGGAAAATATTAAATCAGGAGACAAAAATGGTGGTGGATAATAAGTTTTCTGGCTATTGATGAGTATTTAATTGTATATACAAAGCATTTATAAGTTCAAAAATTACGTATTTTTGGTTCATATGTTACATGAATATTTCAAGATAAATAAAACTTCAGAACTAAATAAGGGACAATTCAGAACTAAATATTCGAGTTTCCCATGTATTTCAAATAATTAGGCATATTGATCCAACTTTTCCATATTTATATAGGGCAGCAATATATAACACCAAAGATATTCTTTTTAATTTATTTTGGAACTTTCTTTGTTCAGGTGTATCTTAGAGAATTTACACTAAAAATTTGTCTGTTTTTAATGAAACTGAAAAAGGAATTTCACAGTATCTTTTATCGTGGTTCTATACCCTATTAACTGTACATTATCAGATTTAGAGTGAGTTCATTTGTTAATCAAAAACCTGAATATGCAAACGACTATATATATAGTTGAAGTAATCACTTTTTTCAAAATTTAGCCAGCCCCAGATTGTCGATATTTTTATTCAACTCGCATATTTTAAATTACTCGGACGAAATGTCCCAAAGGCAACGATAAAATTGAACTAAATTTGTTATTATAGGCATGAGTCATGCGAAGTCAAAACATTTTTCTATGTCGCTTGGTGGTCACTTCAAGCAACGTCGTTGACGAAGAACAATATTTTACATGTTTTTACTTGATTTTACGCATAATATGTCCGCGATAACACAACTAAACATAATTTGCTGCTGTTAGCACCTGTTTTCATATACAGGTGAGAAATCTATAATAGCAGGTCACCTTTGACTTTTTTATCCGATAATTGACCACTCAAGGTCAGCGAAGGCGATTTTTTAGATTTTTTGGACAAGATAGCCTTCGCAACTATTCAAAAAGTGGACAATTTTGACGCTTTACTGCCTAAATTTTCCCAAAATTGCAGAAGAATTGCGTTCTTCAGACTGATTGTTTTTCTGTCAGCCAAACCAGGTCCAGACAAACTTGAACTTAAACACAATGGCCCACGCTTGAATGAAGAAGCTTTTGCCAATATCGCGAAACAATACAAAGTACCAGATAGGAAGCAGTTTTATATAGTATAAGCCATACTATATGCACCTGGCCATTCCCGTCTGGTTAGATATGGTATTTTGATATGCTAAGAATACCAGTCGACTTATTTACAGACGCATCGCCCACAAGTATCACGATTAGCCACGCTGTGGTGAATATTTTGATTGGCAGTCCATACGCGCTTAACTAGAAACAACAGTGCAACTTTCTGAAATATCAGAGAAATATAATTATCTTGAACAAAATCTACTGGTTTGGGTATTCAAATATCACCATATTAATAATGGAATAACTTGGTATAGTTGTAGAAATTAGGTAATGAATACTCTATCATTCCCGGTACATCGCCCTAACAATTCAACGAAGAAATTGTTGAAAAGAAAATGAACACAAATGCTTGACTCTCAAGAAAAATGACAATAATTGAAACAAGCCTATGAAACAAAAGATGCTTTGTAAATCAACGATTGGTATATTAAACTCTGTAATTTATGTCTATTGATGGAGATCATACAGAGCTATAACTTGAGCGAATTTGTAATCACATCATAGATTTAGTATATTTCATATGTTCCACAGTAAATTCGTATAGATTCAGCTTCGACAGTTTGTTTTACAGATTTTAGTACTTAATAAAATCATGGATGCACATTTCATTGCGCTTCTGGGTCCACCATACCAACAACAAATGGCTAAAAACAGAATGTTGGGGATTGCAATAACCCCCAAGGACAAAATCAGCATAAATGGTTTTGGTGCTAATCTTTCCGTGATTCTATGAAAATAATAATCAAATGTGTAAAAACATCGAATATATTCAGTGAGGACCATCATTTAACCGCGGCCAATAAAACAATTAATATAAGCATCAGAAACATTGCCTAACAGACCTAGTGGACTCTCGATGATAGATGTTTCAACAGACCACCACATCATCCTTTGATGGACGAATACTGTTATCTGGACTTTCGCGCGCTATATGGCGGACCATTACTAAATAACCGGATGGGAGAGGGCGACAAGTGATCGCCGGATACATAAAATTTGCACTGATAATGAAGAATAAACCGACAAGAGCAAGAATACTTTACTGTTTAATTTTCTGCAATATCTTCAAATTCTCACACAAATAATTTGAAAAAAAAAAATGAGATTATTTAATAATCAACAACAGTTTTTATAGCAGATTAATTCAATTTTACAAATGAATTGATTGCGGAGAAGCAGTTTGACAATTTTAAAATGTATATAAACAATTTAAGCTTAAAACAATCAGATCAGCTATAATAGCTACAAAGTATATTTAAATAAAGTTATGTATGGTGCATGCGAAAACCATCATCTTAGATTTGCACACTTTTGCTATCAATTTCAACCACAAAAATAGTCAGCATCTTGATATTTTGACAAAGTGTGGTCACTTGACATCCATTGAAAACCAGTGTTTACATTTTAAGTAAGAGGATTACACGGTGGCAGCACCCGTTTGAATGAAAAATATCATACAAATGTATAGCACGTTTATTCCAGGTGGTAAACGCAGTCTCTTTAATTATCGTTAATTTTGAAGAGGTCGTGGAACCCGTCTATATCGATTAAGTGAATTTAAATCTTTATCAAAAAGGAACGTTTGAAAATCTATTCAATATTAAGAATTGTGATGGTTGAATCGCTCAAAGTTATTCCACAAAATGAATAACCGATTCTATTCCTATACGCAGAATTATGATATGTGGATTTTGATCTTATGAATTTAAATATTTGAGTTGATAGTTGATGCGACGATACCCCACATGACGTAGTGGTGGCATGGCGTTTTTTTACATAGTTGGCCAGTTGTCTGTTCCACCACCGGCAATAGTAGGGTGTATTAAATTATTAGACTTGCGCGTAATAACGATCAGGGCTCTTCCAAGTCCATAGCTTCTTTTATGTACTAGTATGAAAGTATGAAACAATCACTAAGATACCAATTCTCGGGCTGCTATTTAATCTTGCATGGACATGGGTTTGGAATATATATAGTGGCCTTAGAAAATTATAGAGCAGACTAATATTGGAGACCTTTAATTTATCAAAAACTACAATCTAAATCTCAGAAATGTATCAATTGAACAGACAATCGAATCAGAAAGGCATGACAATAAATAGTTTTCTTCCCATTATAATACCAGCAGCAGGTAACAGAACTGGCCTATCGTATATTCTTAACCCGATACCCTGGGCATAAGCATTCACTATTTATGTTGAATTATGTATATATTAAAAAGTAGTGTGTGTGCCGATATGGAGGTAACTAATTTTGTTCGCCTACTTTACACCAAGTTGTGTAATGTGACTAAAACCAATGGGCAGGGGGTATATTCACTTGCTGACACAGACAGTCCCCGAACTCATGATAGAACTAAAATAAGGAAAATCGGAATAAAATTATGACCTAACCCTAACCTGGTACACACACTACGGAAGTACCCAAAATTCAACGTACGATAGTTGTCATATTTTGAAAACAACTGTTTCTCATCGGAACTTTTTTCCACCTAAAAATGTCACAGTCGCGTAGCAAACTTTCTTTGATTCTACACATTGGTACAAGTCGGAAAAGGTATCCACCAAAACAAGTGTTGAATAAAAAACAATTTGATCATAAAATGTGCAATCCTGCAAGGCGCAAAAAGTTGCGGCTAGCGACAATTCAATTCCATTAAGATATCTTTGTTTTACCAGTAAAAGCCGATGTGAACAAGACTTCGGAATTACGGACGAATGTAAAGATGTGAAACGACAGAATATATGAGACAAAATAGACAACACTCAACGTTAAATGGCACATCATTGGATTCGTGAATATTCGCGTTACAACCATAAGTACTTGAATTTATTTAATGCATAATCAAAAACTTATACCATCAACGATCTCAGTTGGAAACCGAAATCCCGAAAGACGTAAGGCAACAAAATGACAGTCTGAGTGCCGCGAGACGACGATTGGGGCGAACGAACAAAATGGCGTCGATGTCGCGACATAGCCACAGCGAAAGTTGTTCGATGCTTTTCGCTCGTGTTATAAGCTATTTTACATTAATAATTCAAAAGATTCTTAGCGATAAATCAAAAAGAATATTGTTGTCCAAATCAATTTACATATAAATTAATATATATATTGCATCATACCATTGAACACCAATTAGAATTAGTGGAACAAGCTAATGAAAACTAAGAGCATTGTTTTTTGGACCAAGATAGTCAGCTATTATTCATATTACAACGAATTTAAAAAACATGATATTATAGGACAGTCGCAAATGATATGTCTGTATTGATAATTACACTGAAATTTCCTTACGAAATACTTTTTCCTGCGGTGGTGGCTTTCTTCGACACGGTTATAACTGCCTTAATTCTTTCATATATGCTTTAGCGGAAAGTAAACTTATATAGAAAACATACCGACAGACTAGTTTTGTTTTTTGAACCGCGAAAAATATTGAGTAAAGATTATTACAATGCCATCAACCATAAATAATTTGATTTGTTTATATACAAATAATATTATGAAAGTCATCCTCATCAGCGATTATAGGTGTGTTTACTATTTAGCAAGCAATACATGCAAAATCTGTTTGCTAGAATACATCTATAATCACTTGATTGGGAATATATATTTTCATCTCAGAATATGGATTAATTTTAATGACAGATAATTTTCTACGTAACACTAAAAAATAAGCAGTTAATTGATCATACATGACTTAATATTGAACGATAATATTTTGTCAACAAACAAAGTGATACAACCGTGATTAAAAAATGAATATATATCTTCTCGGCATTACCTACGAAATTTATGATTTCACAAAAAAAAATATAAGACAGACATCGTGGGATGCTGAAGGGAATGGAAGTACATAAAAATCATTATATACTCACACGCCATCCGTTCTCTCCTACTTTCCATCCATGCAAAAGTCGTTCCCAGCAAAGGTGGACGGGCAGTTAATCCTGGAGCTCTGCGCAATATTAGAACAATATTTAGCAAGGAAACACAACTGGGTGTTGTAATATAATGTGATTTTGCCACAAAACTTTATGAAAACGGTCATAAAAAAATCCGAATTGTATGGGCTTAAATGTAAAATACATAGAATAAGAAAATATTGAGGGTTACCAATTTCTTGCGGTAAATAAAAACAATGGATTGTAGCAATATTAATGTGCATAGAGTAGACTTCTCGCATGGCTCACATTCCTTTGTCAACCGGAATTTCATTGAATCTCTAGTATACTTAGTAAACTAGTATTAAAACATTGCATAAATGCATAGCCCTGCATATATCAATCTCAACTGAAAAGATCAATCCCATTGTGAATGATTTCAATTTATTTCCATTGTATCCGTTTGGATGTTACACCAAAATAATAAAATTCAAATGTGTACCTCTTTTATACCTTACCTTTGGGCTGGTACTCTGATAACACTGTTTCCCGCTGCCGCGACTGCAGAACCAACTGCAGCCATAGCCGCGGCTTGATGATGATTGAAATGGTGGGGTTGGGCTACAACAGGACTTAGCGCCGACATAGACAAAGATCCCATGCCGCAGGACGAAGGCGGAATACCGCCGTTAAAAAATGAAGCCGCGGCTGCGGCAGCCGCGTAATTTGTGCAATAACTGCTATAATAATTTGAAGCTGTAAATGCACTATTGTATCTGTTTGGGTCATCAGATGAGAGTTGTTTTGGTTCATCAAAGCAAAGTGTTTTATCTCCGATAATTGGCGTATTGTCCGATTTTGTACCATTGTAGAAATGGCGGCCGGGAGACGTAGAATTGGGCGACATTTGGGGGGACACTGAATCCGACACTGCACTTCCACTCTGTCCCCCGGAAGAACCCGTCGATGTGCTATTTCCGTTTGAACTTATGGACTGATTTTTCATATATTTACAACTGCTTCTTTGTTCAGATTCCCCAACATGACTGTTGGTATCAAAACAGTTTGTACCGTAAGCAGTCAAGTCACCCCGTAAAATTTCGTTTCCACTAGATTTTCTCGCATAGCTCCCATGCGGCAAGGAAGTGGATAGTTTACTATTAAAATAGCTTGATCTTTGACTTCTGGTGTACCCGTTGGCATAAAATGATGAATCCGGTATCCCATTAGCTGGATGATATTGTCCATTATAATAGCCGTTACAGTAGGTGTCAAAGCCACCGTTGTAGTAACCACTTTCAGCCTGCCTGCAAAACGACGTTGAATTCGGAGCATCCTCCGACTTGCCAGTTTCAATTTCGTAGTAATCAGCAGTTTGATTAGTCGTTTCTTGCCCGTCGCTCTCAATAGCAGAACTACAGCCCCCATTTCTACTTTCCAAATTATCTCCTTCGGGGCTAAGGATCTGGTTTATACTAAATGATATATTGTCCTGATGACTTTGAGTCTGAACTCCACCATTCTGTGCCACAGATGTCTGCATCTTTTAGATATTTGTTACTATTGCTGTAGCTGTTTTGTCATACGCCGTTTACAATTTTCGATAACAATGTATGTCCCTTATACATTGCGCCGCGTGTCCATTTTGTTTTGATAATACGTACACGTCAACATAGATTGAACAATACTTATTTATAATGTCATAAACATCTAACGGCAAAACAAGTACATGTTCAAATTTGAATACAGTTATCAAAAGTAGGCAATAATAAACCCTCGAATATAGAAATGGCAATAAACGTAATTTATGTATTAAATAAAGTCTTCTAACAATCTCAAAACAAAAAGTATGCATTCAACTTATACAAACAAGAGCTTTTTTTGAGACTATCTCATGATACCGTAAAGATTAGGTGTCTGGTGCTAAAAATAAGAAGGCGATTTCCAATGCCAAACTCAACACGCAATCGTTTGAACAGACAATGAGATCAATTAGACGAGCTAGGCAATTTTAAATGTAGGTTCCTCTCGTACTTTGGAGAGTTTACCTCCACTCGTGGTCTCTCGCTTTATTCCTCGCGAACGCACTGATTTAACCGAAATTAGGCGTAAAGAGAGTGCGACATTTTAACAACAAAAAAAGAGAAAGTCTTACTGGTGACTAGTTTATACACACACTGAAAATAGTTTTGTTGGTGATGTGTGTACGCTTGTATTTTAATCTGTTAATATGTAAAGAAATGAACATTCCCCGAATTCAAGGATTTGAGGTTTATTATTTTTTAACAAGTAGTCAGCACTTTTGATTTTTCTTTCCGCGTTTGCGTGTGATCCGACTTGATCAGATTTTCATGAAAGAACTTACCGCATATAATGTGAACCACTACTTCAAAAATATTCGTGGTTTTGTTGGTAAAATATTTATAAAGAAAAACAAAAAATGGCAAATGACCTTGAAGTTATTATTGCATTTTTCGTCAATATTCAATTCATACATGAGAAAAAATATTTTTTTTTGGTATCTGTGACTAGTTGAATGTTTTAATGTATAATTTTATTGAGTTAAATTTCAGTTCAAATACAGATATTCATTAAGCTTGAGAATTACTTGGTATTAAGCCAGCGTTTGAATTTTTCACCCACATCATAAACGTATGATTGAATTGTTTTGTAAACAACAAAAATACAAATGCCTAAACAATGTGGCGGTACACATTTCAAAGATATCTCAATTAAGATCATTGCGCTGAACTCCCTCTTTGACTTGTCATGGTCATAAAATGAAACAGTTCATCGAAATGGTCTGTTAATGTTGCCACATTTTGGCCATAATCTCCTTTTGAATGGGAAATTTACAGACGACGTAATACAAATTGCCTATAAATCTTTGATAGTAAATGATAGTATACTTTATTGCTTCGAAATGTTAGCACATCATTGGTTTGATGCTACAAATCACCTTGCGAGGAATGTGGTTTTATCTCGAATGTTTCAATCGTAAATTTTCACATGACCACGTTCATATCGAGAATAGGAATGTACTTTATTTGGTTTTTGCTACCTACGAATGGTGGGAGATTTTGCTGAAAAATTTTACCCGGCCGAACTGAAAACCCAAACTATGAAATAATTGAAATTCGACATGCCAGAACTTACATCAGTGCACTGGTGAGCAAAATTGTAAATTGAAATCCCTGAATATATATAGTTTGCAGACTAAACCAATATATTTTTTTCAACTGTTAGTGAAATACTAGTTGTGACTGATAATTTATCTGGTTCCCAGTTGATGCCAAATCTCTATTCTCAGAAGAATATCAAAGAAGATCGTTTGATATGAAATATGTTTGAACTAAATTGTTCAATATTGAAATGTATACGCTGGAGTGATTGTTATTTGCCATGTTATTTATTATTATTATTTTATATTATTAAATTAATAAAACAGGTACTGGGTGATTATATCAAGTAAAATAAAATAAATTAATTCGAAAGATTGGAACAAGTAGCTTCTTTATTAGCGAGTACTATTATGACAAAGTACCAAAGTACCATGTATGAATCTTCCTAAGATATTTTACGCTCAGTCTATGTACTTTTTAAATTTCTTTGCGTGAATATTCCAAATTTATTCCAGGGTACACCGTTTTATGCTCCATTCTTGCCTAGAATATGTTGTTACTGTGTGTCAAAAGCGACATATAGCGGTGAGTTTAAAAATCGAAACGATCGTTCATCGTAAAACGTTATAATAAAATGAAATGATATGCTTCATAGTCATAATGCATGTTTAATTACTATTGATAAATAAGAACCAAATTATATCAGCGCTGTATACCAAAATATTTTGGAGGGTATATAAGAGACCTAAGACTCTGTGTAGGACAAAATTCCAACAAAAGCATATTAATTTATAGTCTATATAGTGCAATCATGTTTGCACTGAATGGACCAAGGGTCAGAGTCTTGGATCTTCCATCTTTATTATTAGTCGGAACCAGTCATTGTCGGAAATTTGATGAATTTGGATTTCCATTAGATGTGGCCGAATCCTATCTATCGACAACTCTTGAAGTACCTTGTTATAAAAACAAAAGCACGGATCATTTGCATCACTTTCCCGCCCCACGTGCGTATAGATTAGAAGATTGCACACCCTTGAAATGCCAAATCTATCACGAATCATAGATGAACATTCATTTTAAAGTGAATTTATGCTTGTTTTTTTTACGATCATATAAATATTGTTTCGTAATACAAACTCAATCTACTTTCTTCTGAAAACTTTATTCGTTTCTGTTGTCACCATCCACTCTTTTCTGGTTGACAGCAAATGAGTTAGGCCTATTAATTACTCAACACGAACCGGGTTTCAGTTCCCCAGCTGGAAACAGAAACTGTCAATGTGTGGGGCAGCAGAGAAAATTTTATCCGAAAAGGTATTTTGCTACTAATATATATTTTATGAGTACGACATTGGAGAACGCAATCCGAGACCATTTGAGTAAAAAATTACAAGAAAGTTTCGATAAATATGAGCATTATAATTTGTTTACACTGCAGCCTGAATAAATATCAGTCTTTGCCATCGAGCAGTAACATTAGAACGAAAGGATAATGAAGAGGGGTACTTGTTGCCTTATATATTGCCCAACTTTACTACGTTGCGGCAGAAGTGGTTTTTCTTGTAGTTAAATCAAAACCCGGTGTCCCGTCTAGTTCGGCTTTATTAAAGCCAGGTATCTATAGTTCACCCGTATTACTAAAATACTTCTACTATATCTTGTCATGGCGTTTAGCGTTGCAACAACAATATTATAACAACAAAACGGCGTTAATATCGCCGTATCTGTCTTCGCCGGATGAGCTTCTCCGCGGATGAATTTTGGACAGCCCGTTCAAAATACAGAAAACCGCCTTTTTAAGTAAGCCCGAGCCATAGATAACGTATATATCTGTTAGATATATGCAATTGTTGGTACACGTTTGTAAGACATATCAGGCGAAGAAGAAGAAAGTTAAAGTTTTCACTAATCCCGTTGTTAAGAATCATATTTTCTTCGCGGGTGTCGAAATTGGGGATTGGGCCCGATGTGGTGTGAACAGAGACGTAGAGCACTTAACATGTTTTTATTGAGTTCTACTGCGATTATAAACTTTTTAAAAGAAAGTTAAATATTGTCAGAATTGTTTATGTAAAATGTTTAAATGATTGAGAGTTTTGTGACAATTTATTTGAAATAATTTCCTCTCTATCATTCCGAATTCTGACGTAGGAAAGCAAACTATAGGCTTGCCGTTAAATTTCTTTCTTGTGTTTTCCGGTCTTGCTTTTGCCTTGATTTTCACCCTATCCATACCGTGCAAAATGGGTTGTTCAGGTTGACAATAGGTTAAACAAGATTGAGAAACTTTCGAAGTTGAGAAGAGGTGCACATCACAAATTTGATATGGAGAACATTGTTGAAAACATTGAACACACATTTTATTAAATACCAAGTTCAAATATAACATTCGTATAACGCGTTAATTGAAGACTGGGATTCGTAAAATTCGTTTTACGAGGCAAGCAATATAAGATAGAGGTAGCTTTGAATAGCATAGGTGGAATTCGGAGGCAATCGACTAAGTAAGCGGGATGAACCATCCTGTTCCTAGAGGTGTATCGATACCACTTTTGTCGCCGACAGCCCGACTCCAACGAAAAACGCCGATACCAATATTTGAAAAAGCCGATATTGGCATACTACGCAATTATTACCATGTGCAGGGCAAACGGGTTGACAAAGAGATATTCCAGATAAAAAGAAATTTATGTTTATAGTCCAGATGCACTATTTGATTCAGATGCATTGTGCAGAGACGCTAGTAATCTCGGTGTTCAATCAGAAAACTCATAGGGTTTGGCTACAATAAATGGTAACATAAATAAATGTTCATTTAACCTATCAAACTGATACACTGAGTTGCGTGAGCAGGATTTTGTGCCATTATAACGTCATACTTCGCACATTGGAAAATCCACTAATATTCGATTGATATATATATATTTCTTCATAATTACCGTGTGATATTAGAAAAGTCGATATAAAAGTTTGGCAGCGAAAATAGCTAAATTAATTGAGCTAGTTTGTCTGATAAATAGCTGAAACGGGTCAGAATCCTGTTCCCGTTTTTACTCGCGGGGTGGGGACGAGTAACGAGGCTCAAATTTAACGAGGCAAATACCTCGAAGAAAATCTAAATATTTCCGTCTACATTTAGCAGATACTGAAAAATTGACGGCTACCTCTCTAATCCCTAATACAGTGTCGGATTTACCACTAGGCAGGGCAGGCTCGGGCATCGACATTCAGTTTCAATCGTTAAAGACGTGTTCAGGAATTTCATAATTGAAAAAAATATATAACGTCATAATGTATTCAACAAATCATATAGTTTAAGCCATATTATGACGTCATAATTGATCCACGAGCGTGTGATGTTTTGTTGAAGAGAGCCCTCACAAATAAATTACTGCCCTCATATCTTCTAAATCCGACTCTGCCCCGCCCCCAATACTTTAAGTATGAAAAGTTCGAAGTATCGTCAAACCTTGCTCATCTTCGTTGCGATTGTTTCATTTGCAGACGTCATAAATATGCAGCGCGAAGAGATAAGGAGATTTTTTTAATTTCCACAAAACAATGTTAAAAAAAGGACAACTTTTGGAACCTTCTATTTGCGGTTCTTACCTCCATTTCTGTAACAAGGCGCGAAATGATTTAAATGCCGACGCATATCATACTTGAACTGAAATCGACGACATAATCTTTTACGAAAGCCAAATCTAACAAATTGCCACATCCTGGGAACTTCTAGCACAGTGTTTCCCAACCCGAGTCCGCGGTCTCAAATGAGTCTGCAAAGCATTTGAATGAGTCCGCAACGGGCCAGAAATTCACTGCGGGCCGCGAACGTTTTTGCGAAACTTAACTATCAGCTAAGTTACGATTTACGTTAGAATTTGCATAAAAAATATAAAGGAAGTTTATTCACATATAGGGATGGGCATATATTCGAATATTCAACTATTAGAATAGCAATTTACTATTCGTAAATTGGTAACAGGTGACGCGACAGGTCACTTGCGCGTCGCTTAATCAAACGATGGGACTGGACTCACTTGCGGATTTCCGACGAAAACACGAGTCTACACACGTGTCGATAGATGGTGTTTTTCGCGAGTTCGAACAACGAGGAATAATTTTTTTTTCTGGTAGGTGTCAATTGTGGCAACCCAAATTTTCTAAATTGAAAAGCGGCAATACAAAATACTAAAAATAAAACGGGGAACGCCATAAATTTTTCCCTTAGGATTATTTGCTTTACTCCCTCCACATTGGTACGTGCAGTACCCGCCGTAGGTGTAGTACGAACAGCTCAGATTTGTCGAATTCACAAAAATACGAATTAAAACAAAATATAATCGGGCAATTTGTCACGCATTTTTAGGTCCACGGATTGTCATGATATTTTCTGAGTAGTATTGCTTTTATTCTGTCCAGACAAACCGCAGATTAAAATGATCACAAATGATTAATAATAAAGCAAGGCGGTGAATATGTAATTTTGATTTACTAATATACTTTTAATATATTCCTAATAAGTCGTAAATCAAGTTGTACTTTCTGGAAATTTATAGCAGATAGTAGGATTTTTCTAACGGCGATAACAAATTCGCAAGATCGCAAAAAAAATATGTAGATATCAAAACTAAATATAATCGGGCAATATATTCTCACATTATTATGTTCGCAGATTTCCGTGGCATTTTAAAGAAGTAATGCTTTTCATCTTGTCGTTACCCGTCGACTCAACCGCGAGTTATAAAATAGAAAGACATTTTAAATTCTCGTCGTTGTCATGGATTGAATATTGTGCCGTTAATATTCTGTTGTGTTTGGTTTCATTTACTTCTTCACACAAAGTACGGTTGCAATAAAATCACCTCGAGTCCGCAAAGGTTTTCGCCGGTGAGAAAATAGTCCGCGACCAAAAAAGGTTGGGAAACGCTGTTCTAGCAGCTTGACCATACCCCTCAGAAAATCACATCATGGATATGAATGCAGTATTCTTCTATAATCTATATGCTTGTCCAACCACCATTAACTCACTTGTCTTGCAATATAAAACGCAGATGGGCAGATAACCAGCAGGCGATAGATATAATGAACATCGGGATTAGCCGAGAACACTGCTATTCCGTGAGCTTCTTCGAGTGTTCCACAGGACAGGGTTCGAAATTGCGACTAAATTGTTCGCCATGACGATCTCGGCGCCTCTGGGTCGTAAATTTGTCTCCCAACAGGCCTCGTGCCAGTCTGGAAAGCATGGCATTTTGGTCAACCGTTATATCCTTAACCATCGGCCCAATTTTTTAATTGACCGTTTCCGTGTTCCCTTCTTAACGGATTGTTGGCTTAAAACTCGAAGCCTGAAAAGATGTCCTGATAAGACTGTTGTGCAAGTTGATGCACAAGTAAATCCTTTACAAAAAAAATTGATTATTAATTTTACCTTCTAATTTCTTGTTCCGCGAGGCGAGATAAAAAATGTAAGTGTTTCGGGACAATAAAAGTTTGAAAAACTCTGCCCTAGCTCATCAGACTAATGATCCACCCCTTCGCAATAAAAAACAAAAATTTTGACTCAGCTGTTCATAACACTCATGGTGAGGCCTGACTAAAAGAAAAAAATCGACAGTCAATATCATAAAAATAGAGACTATCTGCATACAAGAATAAATTGTCATTTACCATCACATCATACTTGAATATTACATAAACCGTGAATAAGTCAAGCAAAGCACAGTGGAAAAATATACATTTCAGCAACACAAGTATTAAAAAATAATAATGCATACACCAGACCACATGGAAAATTTTTACAGTCAATACGATCCAAGCATGTATATATAAAATTAGGTGATACAATTTTATTTGACTAAATATTAGCAGCTAGAAATGTTGAAAATATGAATTTAGTACCATTGAAACTATTTCTACATATATAATCATATATAAAAAAGCAACATATTATGACGTTTTGGCAAATGAATACCGTATTTTATCCTACAGACATATAAAATATTCTATACATATTAAAAATCACCAAATACAGTGTTGTGAGACAGCAAATGTAATTTTGTAGGGCTCCAATACAAAAGCATGTGTAATGTACGGAATAGTATCTGAATCAAAATGGATTGGAACACATTTCAAAAATGGGTAGCCTACATATTCAAAAAATATTTTACAAATATGAAAAAGTAACAATTGAAAAGTAATATATAAAATATTAGAAATCCTACCATCATTTATGTAAAACTGTAATATTATATATTTTTTGAATCTTACTAAATACAATGAGTCTTCCAACAAAATTAGCAGCTATTTATAAAAACTTTCTATTGTTTTTAACCAAGCAGCGGAATGACCATGTTAAAACAATTAATTCCACATTATCCATAACAGGTTCGTCAAATCATACTCTATCAAAAAAATTGTGTTAGAAGTATGCACAGTCAAGGTAGAAATTTACCTGAGCATATTTCAAGCAATGCATTTAAAAATAGTTAACAATAATCAAGAAAGTTTCCTCATTTTTGTTTTCATGGTCATCAATGAATACATGGACATTATGCTTTCCTGGTCGATGTATTCCAGCAGCAAATCTTAACCCAATGGTGAATGTTTCTGATGAAGCAAGCTGGAAAATAAGTTTTAATAAATGGATGGGGTCATATTGAAAACGTCATAAGGTCATGGCAGCTTTAACCAATGAACAACAGCAAACCTCATGCTAATAGTAAAATTATAGTCAAGTTACTCCTACGTGATGTGCACATACCTTTGTTGAAATATGAAATATTACTTGATTCTAATTTAAGCAAGATCACTCAATTGTTTGGTTTAGTTACTGTGCAAAGTGAAGACATAGAAAAACTGACAAAAAAATGAATTCAATGACATTTGATATCATGGTGCTCCAGAAGTATGTGTACCATTAACAATATGGAGGTGACTAATTTTGTTGGCCTCCTTTACATCAAGTTGTGTACAGGGACTGATTACTATGGGCAGGGGGTGTGTTCACTTGGCTAACACAGAGAGTACCTGAACTTGTAATAGAATTAAAATGGGGAAAATTGGAATAAAATTATGATCTAACCCTAACATACTACGGGTGTACCAATATTTTATCAGCAACACACAGTTTTATGCATTCATGAAACTTCAGAATCTTCACATCAAATAACATACTTGAAGAAAATAAATGAAAACAAAATGAAGTCAGCAATCTCTTTCCCGCTTTTCTATTTATGATATGTTTATCAGTCCCATCAAAAAATTTCTAAAACCAAGTTGTTATTTTCATAATTGGACATAAACAAAAACGAAACCAAACCTCAAACTGAGTTTCCTTGAAGGACAATAAATCCGGACGGCTAGAGAGAAGTTGAAATTTCTTCCTGATAGGATATGGATTTGTGTAAGTTATCTTTTTGAAACATCCTTTACCACCAGCAATTGGAACTTCAATTTCAAACTCCTGCATAGAAAGTTGATTAGAAAATATTAAATGATATTTAACTTAGTTTCAACAATGTTAATGGATCTGTAAGATATTGCTGAGTCACAATGAATAATATAATGCTTTGTACAAAGATTTATAAAGGATCGAAAAACACAACACAAAAATTTCCTAATCACTTCTTACTTCTATTACAGGAGTGTGCAACATTTTTTGTCGGCGGGTCATATAACCAACTTCTGACATCTAGCCGGGTCATTCAAAAAATTCAATTTCTTTCGGGTAGACAATGAATTAAAAAATTCTCACCACGAAAAGGCTATATATAGCTTAGTCTTACAGTAATAAAGACAAAAAGACGAAAGACTTAAAATTATGGATTTTAACTCGTGTGTGCGCTTTTTTAAACATAAACTGTCAGGTGAGAATTTGATGCTTAGTGGGAAAATATCTGAGTGTTGGTTGACAAGGGCCACACTTATTGTCCTGGCCGGCCGGGTTATGGCCCGCGGAACGCCTGTTGCACACCCCTGTTCTATTACAATAGACAAAAAATTATTTATACTTGAACTTCTATTCCTGTATGATAGTAGCCAAAAGTTTTAGTAATCCAGGGCTTAGCATGCCTAAGTAACTTCCCAATCATTGAAGATTGATATTAGCATTTTGATCGTTGCATTTCGGAAATCACATTGAATTTTCAAATATTTGACATTTAGTAATAATTTCAAGTTTAGTTTTCAGTAAATTATTGTCTAACACAAGAAGATAATAAATATTGAATAAGATTTATTATTGACAGAATTAGCTCACAAAAACATATTTAATCATCCTTTAATTAATTGAGCTCTACCAATAATGACATGTGCAGAAAAAATCAATGAGTATGAAAGAAAAAAAATTTCCACATGGCCCAGTAGGAAAATTTTACCACTTGAAACAAAAGCACTCCTGCACTGTGAATCGACGCAAACAGTTTTAAGTATTTCATTCAAGGGGTAAAGCCGTTTTAGCTTTATAAAAGTTCTTACCTTGGAAACAATGGGTTGTTTACTGCTGACTGCAACCAGCCATGATCTTATGAGTTGATGATATTCCACATCAACAACATTGACATACATGTATCTTATACCAGGGGATCCAATTGGTCGAACACCGACTGTCAGCTCAGTAACATTATTTGCTGTTAGTAAAAAGGATTCTGAGGGTGAAACCTGAAAATATACGAGGAATGTTAATGTGAAATGTCATCAATTTTGAATTGTTGATACTGCAGAAAAAGAAAATGACCAAATTCAATTTTAAATTGGAACAAAACATCAGGCATATTAAAAAGCATATTTTTGAAAAATCATGCTCAGATCACCAGCATTTGGCTCGGTGGTTGGCACATCATGCTAAGCGTTAGAAATCGGATTTCCATAGCAACACTGATTACCATGTGCGCTCCCATGAGAATCGCTGGACTCATCATCATAGGGTTTTTCATGTGGACGCTGGTCAGATACGGCTTTCTCCACGTCCACCATCTAGTCCATGCATTCGAAACAAATAAGTGGTTAACTATTCTTATACCAAAATTGGGACTAGTAACCACAGAATAAGCCATGGTTATCCCTATTATTAAGACATCTTATAGGCATTTGTCTTTCCCAGAATAATAGGGAATTCGTATCCTATTCATTATCTTTCAGTGATCAGTTACATTACCTCCATTTGTAGTGGATGAGACGAGAAACATCGAACCATTCTCGCAGTTTGTGTTCCTTTCAACACAAGTGCAAGTCTAGTAGTTTGTCCGAGTACAGAATTAACGTCAACACGTTGCAAAGCATGAATGTAAAACTGCCAGATTTGAATTGGTGCCGATATAAATGCATCACTGTAAATAAGTTATAGAAATAATAGATTAAAACGAAATAAATCTTTCAATTTTTCTTATTTGTATACATAATAGGGCGCTCAAGAAGTATGTGTACCATACTTTTTTTTCGCCCACTTTACATATCAAGTTGTGCAAAGGGATGGAAGCCTATGAAACGAAAATAGAAAAAATTGGAATAAAATTATAACCTAACCCTAACCAGGTACACATACTACAGGAGAACCCATAATTGAGACGAACAATGATTATATAACCAATTAACTCAATACAGAATATGCTCACTTGTATAATGCCAAGAAAAATCTCCGAACAGAAGGGGATTGTCCACAAGGTGCTTTCATAAATATTTCTTGTGGTTCAGTAGGACCAGCTGATCTAGCTTGGCAAATAATTTCAGGATCACTACATTCAACATGAAACCGAGATGCCGTACCATCTGAAGAAAAACCAAAAATTAAAATAATCTAGAACAAGAATGAAATACACCTGAGAACTGAAAACTAGGAAATAGAAATTGTTCATATATTTCTATTGATTGGCAACAGAAACCTCATCTAATACGCAGGTTCAAATCCTGTGGGGAATAATTATGTGTGAGAGGATTGCTAGACTCCTCACCATTGTAGGATGGTTGGTTACTTCTTTTTCCAGCATTAAGTCCATACATTTGAAACAAAATAACTATTTGCATACCTGACATGGACGGGTAGGCTGACGAGCGGCCAAGGACACTATATGATTAGGCTGCTTTATCAGTTTTCCTTTCCCCAGAGATTAATATGAAAATTCTAACCTAATTTAAGCTGAAAATCTGAATATTAATTGCTCAATTTATAACTATGAGGTAATAAGCCTGTTATAATCAATGACACATTGACTGAAATCACCTGTAAAAGTGTTTTTGAAAGGTGGTAATCTGAGGCATTTCTTCAGAAATGAAGCTTCAGGATTATAAAATCTGAATGTTTGATCAACAACATGAGGTTGTGGTTCAACATTGATTTGTAAAACTGATATCGGTTTTCCATCCGATGTACGAAGATATGCCTGAAATATGGATAGATAGAATTACTTCAGATCAGTAGCAGACGATCACATTACATATTAAAATAGGTATGAATAGTAAAAACCATACAAAAAATGTAATGAACCAAATTTGAATGGCCACTGGCCAGCATATTGTTATTGAAAACCTGTGCAAAACTATGAATGCAGGAAAGTTTTGAATACTATTCAGAAGTAAAAAATCTTGTAAAATGTGGGGTTTGCCAAATTTGTTTGACCGGGGGTCAAAATTAGAAGTGGGAGGATGATTACAGGCCGGGAGAGAGGAGCGCCCACAAGGGGCCGATACCGGTACGTATAATTAAGATACCACTACCAGTAAAATGAATTGTTCTGAATATACACATGCTTAACTATGATAATGACTCAACAATTGGCAGTATCGGAAAAATTAAAACACCAAGTGCAAACTATTTCACTTAAGTTCGACGAGCCATAATAAATCGTTATGCGGGTCGTAATCGGCTTGCGGGCCTTGGTTTGGGAACCACTGGTGTAAATGAATGAAAGTTTATTCATAAAGTATCAGTAGTTCGTGGGTTTGTAAAATGGAGATTGAACAAATTAAAACATATTTTTTTTTGAATTTTAGGTAATTGTTAGGAAGTTAGAATCATGGTTAGACTTGATTGCTATAAGGTCTGTAACGTTGTGAAAAGGCCTTGCGTAAGGTTTCTCGAACCGGGCCCTCAGCCGTACTAGAGGGCCACAAAGCGATTCACTGAGGACCACGAGCAAAGCTTTTACTAGGCACCATTCGCTATGTCTACATTAATTGAAAGTAAAATGATAATAATGCCTTTATTATTTTGCTTTTTATTTTTAAACGTTTCACTTGAAACAGTTGATCGGAATGAATTAAAAGCAAACGATGCATTTTATTAAAGAGCAAAGGGCGAAAAGTGTTGAAAGTCTTTAAAGGGGGCTACGGATTACTAAATGTTGACAACCACTGGTCTAACGAATAGTATTTTAGGCTTAATTGTGATAATGTCACAGCTTACGAATACTAAGTTCAAACTAAGTACCCAAAACTTTTAAATATCTACAGGCTATTTCCTCATAGCTCGCTCCATATCAGGAAGAAGACAAATGAAAAAATCGCCATCATGAATAAGAACACATAAGCATACCCTGACAATTTTTGCCTTTATCGTGCCATGATTTTGTCCTGCTTTAATTTGTTGCAAGACAGTAGGTGTTGGTTTGAAAAATTGACTTGGTCCAGGTGATATTTCTTGACCGACTTCAAATCCCTGATATCGGAATGGAACATATACTGTCTCTTTGGGACGAAGATAAATCTGGGAAAATAAAGTTGAAATTGGGATTGATTTTTTTGTAACCTAAAAATTGGAGTAGTTTTTAAGAGAGTACAAAAATGTTTAATTTATCGAAATATAATTAAACGAATCTATGATTTGACAGTTTCAAAGAGCAAATTAGAACAAGAAAGAACTCATTAAATTGAAAGACATTTCACTGGGATGGGATTTCAAATTATCGAATGTTTTACTTACATCCGCACAAAATAATGTTAACATGTGTTCTCATTTACATTTTGTCCAAGTGATTGCCATCCGGATATATCTGCATTCTAATCTTATTCTCCACTAATTAACTGACCAATGACAGCGCAGTATGATAATATGGCATTGTGGGTAAAACCACCACTGAAGCATGCTTCCTGGATATAAATACTGCCATGCTTGGTCTCCAAAGGTCATTCAGTACTTTGGTATAGCAGAGGCAACGTGTGTCTTATGTCTGACTTTATATTATGTTATTTGTGGTGACAACTGGACTGTTTATCCTTAGTATTGCTTGTATTCAATAAAACATTAATTTACACCAGTAAACAGATAAACCTTATATATGCTGGGAGGGCAGATACCAATCCAGGTTAGAAATAATTAACTTAACCATTACTGTAGGTATGGGCTGAGGTAGTTGGGGAATCAGTAATTGACCGATGACCAGCGATTACCACAATGCGAAGAGGAGTCCACCAAACATCTTACATATAATTAACACTTACAGACTTCGAAACCTGCGAACCCACACACACCATTACTTACTTGTGGTAAAGAAGTCGCTTGATCAAAATTAAACATATTTTCTTCTACTGGTGTACGTAGATTACATTTCGATTTAAAAAATCTCCATTCACGAGAATCTGTCACAACTCTAAGAAATTGAAAATAATATAAGAATGAATTAAGTGACAGGAAATCTTGTCTTAAAGCATATATGAAAGTTAACTTCATATGAAAACATTTATTCATGTGAATTCACAATTTCATCCTCTTGGCATAGATTTATTGGCATATATCACAATTTTGTTGCCTAATGAAGGTAATAGAGACCACAAAATAAAACTAATTTTAAAACGAAATTCAAAAACATGAAATTATCGATTGGATAACTGGGAGTATAAGGCATCAGCCATTCCAAATACAGTACCTAATTCTATAAGTTTTTGCTCATATTAGTGATTTGACACCTTATCTTGACAGAAAGTGAGAATAGCCTTAGCTTGATAAGATAAGAGATAATAGAAAACGGCTACTTTATTTAATCTAACCTTAATTCAGGACTATCACATTCTATTGTAACAGTATGTTGTGAACTGAAAGGATTCTTAAGTTGTAGTTCAACAAAATGTGCAGAACCAAGAGATGGACGTATAGTGTGTTGTGTGGTAATTGACAACGTCAATAATTCCGTTATATGGTTTGGTTTTAATCGACTTCTATAACTTTCAACTGTTCGTAAATCTCGTATTTTTAGAGTTCTTTCTTGTTTGTTAACCTGCAAAAGATTACAATTATTAGATATATATAAGATGGGAAAAAATTGAAATGACATTTGATGAACATTCACATCAAATAGAGAAATTTCACTTCGCATAATTTCTTGCCTCTAATTTTTGTCGCGAAATGGTCATTTCAGTGTAATTTAGCCCATTTGGGGATGAGGGCTTGGTCGAGAAGGCTGATATAAATTTATAATTAGGTCACAGAATCAGGTTAGGGTTAAATTATAGCCCCATATACATGTAAGCGTACATCAATAATATCGAACCCATGGGCAGATTAAAGGGCGCTCCAGAAATATGATGGTAACTAATTTTGTTTGCCTACTTTACATCAAGTTGTGTAAAGGGACTGAAACTTATGGGCAGAGGGTATATTCACTTGGCTAACACAGACAGTCCGGAACTCATAATAGAACTAAAATAAGGAAAATCGGAATAAAATTATGGCCTAACTTTAACCTGGAACACATACTACGGGAGTACTGATTAAAGAATAGGCAGATTTCTAAAAAACCCCAATATTTGTATTTGGTTGAACAAAGTAAATATTTTGTGTACCAATCAATTGGCATATAATCAAGTCATGGTCGGGACATTTTCGGGATATTGTGGTGTAATATTATAAATATACCAGAGCACGTTGTCCTATCCTCGCTACATCATTACTATCTCCATTCCGTTCAGCTTCCCGAATCGCCAACATCCTTGCAAGTTTTCTTTTACGATCAGATTCTGATAATTTGTCAGTTAATTTTGGACTAAAAAACCGAAAAGGAGATATTCAATAAACTCGTTTGATGCGATATATGGTCATAACCTACTAATTTATTATTTAAAATATATATTCTGATAACATATTTTGAGTATTCTAAGTTGGATATGTTGAACAGAGGTAATTCCTGATTATCATTGGTTTTCAAAAGATAAAAAAAAGTTTGGCTGTGGAATGTCAAATGATGATTTTCAAATATATAAGGATAAGATTTACATATTTATCCTGGAGAAGAAGAAAGCCGATAAGATGGCTTAATCATATGGTGAACCACGTCCTCTCGTTTGGTAATCAGTCCGTGTCAGGTATGGGATTAGTTAGACACCTATTTGTTTTCAGATGCATGGACTTGATGGTGGAGGAAGCCGTAACCGACCAGTGGTTACGTGAACCACCCTACGACGGCGAGGAGTCCAGCAACCCTCTCGCATATAATTAACCCTGCATGAGATTTGGACCTGTGAACCCACGCAGGGTAAAAAGAGGTAGGGTGGCGAGTGTATTCCGATGAGCCACACCGCCGGGCCAATTATTATTAGAAAAAGAAAAAATTTACCATATTGAATACAACCAATTTCAAGTGAGTTTGAATATTGATACATTTCACATATCCTTGGATTATAACAAGGACAGCAATTTTTGCCCGTCCTATGAAAAAAACAGAAATCTTAAATTCTTCATTTGTAAAAATTTAATCAAAAACACAAACCTTTCTTCTATAGATTTTTCTTCTGTACTTGAGTTCAACAACAACAAATCACATAATTCTTTATTCATGTCTGTCAATTTTTTAGCAACACATTTCTTTGGTCTTTCATAAACTGGAAAAAAATAAACCGATAATCAACCAATCTGTAGTGAAGAGCTCCCTTCGATGATGACCTGAGGGTAGGTTAAAGCAGGATTGTGCAACCTTTAATACAGGAGGGTCAGATACAAATAACTGAGTAAACCGCGGGCTGCACCTTTATTTAACATAGGCTTTCTAGTAGTTGCAGGTACAAAAATTTCGGGTGTTGATCTTATGATAATAACCTGCGGGTTTAGGCGTTGCAACGCTAAAGGATTGGAATTAATCGCACCTATTAGATTAAACTAAATTAACTCGTTTCGCATGCCGCACACCATTCATAATTGGCATTTCTCTATGTGCCGCACAACTTTTTCTTGTGGGCCGCAGGTTGCACACCCCTGGGTTAAAGCATTGAACTCGATCTTGCTGGAATGTAATAAGTTGGGGGAAAAGTCAAATTGGGAAGATTCTGATTTAAAAAAAAAAGAAAACCCTTATTGTACCATTGGCTTCTTGTAAAGAGCCTTGTTCAGAGTAAAGTAAGAAAAAAAACCTTACTCACAAAAAACGATGTTTCAAATTCATCATTATTCAAATGAATATTCATTATTTTTGCTCTATCAATTAAGTTGATTGGAAAATATCTAAAAACAGCAAACTATAGATAACAAGGTGTTTTATCATGTAAACGAGACAAAAAAAATTATCCTATGGCCCAATTGTATATATATATATATATATACAATACAGTTAGATATATAAGTCAACAAAAGACTATTTTAAAGCAAAATTAGTCCGAATGTAATTGGCAATATACATATAAATTTAATTATATATAGATTGCCAGGCCAACCCAAATCGAATGCTCTTATCGTGAGAACTTGGAATGGTTCGAGTTGTAGCTGTTCAAATTAAGTTGGCATAATGTCATTTCGTTTGGGTGCAATCAGAGTTAAGCACGTATAAGCCACCCCTTAGTTTGGCAACTTTTTTTTGAGTTTCAAACTTAGCTTATATGCGAGGATATACGGTACGTATCAATTACCACAAACCTGGTTGTCCATTGTATGTTTTAGCAGTAGAAACACTTCCACCAACAAATCCACATCCTGATATATCAGCAACTACAAGATGTTTCTGATTGCCATGCAAGGCAGGTAATGTATTTCCTATGTTTGAATGATTTTCCGAAGCATATCCAACATTGCCAAGCCTAGAGAATTAAATAAATAAAATACTTCTAATTTGTCTGTTGAATGTGACCAAATGTAAAGTATATTAAATATTATATAATTTTCAGAATGAATTTGGAATAGTAATTCACCATGTTTTTGGCCATCTCCATTTTTACTCAATTTGAAAACAATATCTTTGAAATGAGCGAAACACTCGAAACCAAAAACCAAATTTAAAGATGCTCACTAATCATATGACTCTACAAGTCCATTCACCTGAAGCCATTAGCTGTATAGACAACTACTCTTATACAAAAATATTTTATATAAAACATTTTAAAGACAAAAAGTGCACCATGGCAATAGTGCTAAAAGTATGGCAATACAAAAAGGGGTGCTCCCGAAGTATGCGAACCAAGATGGCGGACATCGGAACGTAACATGGGTAACAGGTTAGGGTTAGGCGATAATTTTTTTCCAATTTTCCTTATTTTAGTCCTATTATCAGTTCGAAGACTAGCCAAGAGCCTCCCGTAGTATTTATACCTAAAATTATGGCCTAACCCTAACCTAGTACACATATTACATTCCGATGTCCGCCATCTTGGTTCGCATACTTCGGGAGCCCCCAAAAAGGTCATGTCAATACAACTAAAAAAGTCAAGTAAATGTAAAAAGGGGTAAGACGGATGAATTCATACATTCGAGGCATGAAATCTTATCCTTAATTTTAAATCTCAAAAATCACCAGTAAATTTAATGTGCAAGTACATGTATACATGTACGTAGAACTTGATTAATATAACTTTTTTATACTTATATCTAACTTATAACTAATTTTATAAAAAAAAGATTTTTTTTTATTTCGTGAAACAATTCCAAAAAAATTTTAAAGTACTAAAGTGATCATATATAACACTCAGTCATACCTCATATGTAATTTTCCTCTATGTGTCAGTGTCATACCGAGAGGTCTTACATCACCTCCAGATGATAAGTCTCCTGTAATCGTGGGTATTGTATCAGTGTGCTCGGAGTACACAACGTCCAATTCATGATTGACAGCTACTGCCTGTCTGCCTTGTCGAAGCAAGTGCTGAGGAGAACAATTTTGTGAGAGTAATTAAAGATTCAACATAAAAATCCTCATAAACTGGACTGTAGAGTATGAGAAAATTCACAAATATACATCAGACATCAAACTCTGAGTCATTTGAAAGCCGACTTCAGCTAAACCAAAACCTTGGCATAGGCAAACTTCAATAATCTGACGAGAATTCATAGTCAACTTGATGTTTTCTTTAAGTTTCTGTCAGAAATTTTGATTTTGAATATCGCCATTAAATATCTACAATTCAGACTCTGACAGGTTCAACTCCAGCGACTTACTCTGGCGAGTTTATAAATATGACTCCGGAACATAGGAGAACATATCATAGAAGAATCAAAAAATAAATTATGTGGTATAAGATTATTACTTTCAATGGTACAGATAACGATCCAATCAGCATCAAAGAATCCCCATCCCATATATCAATATGCAATGTGTGAGTACGTAAGTATGTTAAAAACGATGAAGTTTCTCCAGGATTCATATTAGATGGATCTATGTAGTATCTTATCTCCAGACCAGGTCGACCTAAATATTGTGTTTAGAATACTTGTAGCTTTAGTTATTGCATAGTTCATCGGCGGCGAGTTTCTAAAGACCATGCAAATATTTCTATTGAGAAGCGGCAATTTAAAATATTGAAAATGCAAAATTTGAAATGACATAGACACCACATTAAATAATCTCCCAGCAACAAGACTAAATATAGAATATTGCCCCTTATTTGATATATGAATAAACCAATGAACACAGTTTTTGTTCAAGGACAAGCAGATGCGTGCCAAACTTTTTTGCTGCCGAGGGCGAGTATCTGATAATGATGCTCCTAATACTTAACAATTCGGGGAACAAATAAAATGTTGTTATACACGAGAATGAATAAATTAAAGAAATAATAAAGTAAGAATGAAATGTTTGTAGTATCAATTGAATCATTAACCTAAGCATTAAACTTGTATGTATAACATGTTATAACACAAACTCTGCAGCTCGGATTTGCTGCCCCCTGCAACATTCTGCTTGGGGTCACGACCCCTATGGGCTCTCCTGTGAGTAAGACAATAATATGCAAAAGATACTGTTGTAACAAAGTAAGGCTACCTTTATCCAGATGCTCTCCTGCTTCTATCTTTCTCAGAACAAAAGGAAGATTTGAGGAATATCTATAAAAAGAAGTGAATATCAAAGAATTCCAAAAATTCATACAATGGAATGTTTTAAAAAATCCATATATTCCGTACAAGATTTATTTGGAACATATTCTAAATAAGGGCCATTCCAAGCAAAAGTTGAATTCCATCAATTTTTTAAAAAGTGTAGTGAAAGTAATTTTTTTTTATTTTTGATATCAAAAGACATTGAAATTTTATTGGACTGCATTCATTTCATCGAACCCTCTCAAAATTTCACCCAGGTTTTTGATGGTTTATAAAAAATGGCCTGAAATGTAGAAATTTTGGTATAATTGACATATTTTGTGATGATTCCTGACACAAAGTGTTTGATTGTGTGGTACAGTTATTTCATATGGAATTGACGCACTGGATTTAAGTTAATAAAGTTTGAATGTTTGCAGTGCTGTAGAACATTTCTTCACCCATGTAACGATTTATTAACAGAATTTTAAGAGATGATAGATGCCGCTATTCCGAAGTGGAAAAATGTCCTGTAGTGTCACGTCCTGTAGTGTCACATACATGGTGCACATTATTGGCATGGATTTACAGTGTTACATTAAGTAACTTGAGCAACACATAGAGGGGTAGTTCAGCTACTGCACCAAAAAATATTATGGGCTCCTACTGTACCATCGCAAAAATTTACAGCACAACACAACGTACTGTTAGTGCATGGTGGATTTGCCTTCCTGTAGTGTCACGCTATATTTTACTAAAATTTTTTTATCTACTAAGTAAGGTTGGATGTAACTTTTGTGCAATTTTTTACATATTCAATGAAGCAACTGATTGGACAATGAAACAAAACATGTAGCTGAAAATGTGAAAATATATTGAATTTAACAACATGCAAAATTTCTGGAATTGTCCTGTAGTGTCACTTGGAATAGCCCATAAAACATAACTTTTGAGCAAAGCTTTATAGATTAGAAAAATTTTTGGGTAAAATAATACATAAACATAAGTTCACATGTTTTGTGAGTGAATTATTGATTCGAAACCAGTCATTGATTAAATATAATTTATTAGTAAGAAAGGACCAGGTTCAGGAAAATTTCTCACTACTGTGTTTCGTACTTTAAGAATAATTACCTATACAGTGCATTTATATTTTCAATGGATTATTACCACAATTAGAATAAACTGAATAAATGCCAGGGTTGTGCTCGGGAACCATTATGATGTAATAATAGGTGCGTAATAATATTTTGTACCAGATTTTTCCCCTTTTTACAATGATTGGGTTTAATTTTTTCCGATAAGCAAATACCAACCTTTTTACACTTTTTTCGTCAACAGAATCCGATTGTTTCGTCAAACTCATTCTATTTGTAGTAACAGGTTGAAAACGATAAAATTGAAACGAACAGAATATTGAATTAATATCTGGTGGTTTGGATTCACCGGGTCCAGGTTGAGGTTTTCCAAACGCAAGAAATTGAATGATGATTTCATTTGTCTGTGAAGAAACAAAAGATTTAAAATTTGGTTCTATTATACAACGCTTATCCACATGTCTCCCTCTGAACAAAGCCCTATACAAGCATTTATTGATATCTCATGAACTTTTTCATTTTAAAGGACCGAAGGCTTATAGAAGAATACTTTTTATTTGCATCACTCGGTAAAAAGACCTAAATTTGAATTGCTAATCTACGATCCTCCCATTATTTGACCAACAGTATTAACGAGCCCAAAACAAACCAAATGTGCAATGCAGATTACAAAATAAATCATGTATATTCCTAGGGGAAATACAGAAAACCTATTATGCATACATAAGTAGGGTTGACACTTATAGATACATTTTTTTTCGAATCTCGAATCAATAATTTTCAAATCTAATCTATCCAAATCTGAATTCGTTAAGCTTTTTTTTATTGCATGCGTAGGTTTGCCCGAAGTCACATCCCTATAAGTGTAAATCACCTGCAAAACATCAGAAACATCTCGAGATATATCAATGTCATCCACTATATCACGAACATCGATTAAATCAGGTGGATTACCATGGCGATCTAATATATCAGGAAATCCAGCAGAATACATTCTTGCATACGATGCTCTTGACATTCCAGAAGTCCTAGAGACAAAAAGTAGGCTACTGATTTCTGTAAAACATTTTTTTGCTGTTAACATCAATATAAAACTGAACAAAGATTTAAATTCAGGTAAACTAAGCAGAAAATTAATCATTCCTAATAAATAACACAGTAGAATCAGGAAACCACTATTAGATCAGCTTAATTATAAAACTTATAAGTTTTAAAAGTTAGGGAATTATTAAAATTGACAGTTCACAAGCTTATGGAAAGATTATAGAAAACTGTCACAAAGTTGTTACTAAAACTGGTAAAAGAAGGTACATACCTTTGAGCAACTGGTAATATAGGTGGGGCATGTATAGGTGGAAGATCACCTTCCATTTCAAGATGAGTTACTTCTACATTGTAAACATTTCCTGCTATAGATTGTGTCATAGCATGTTCTTGTGAAGATTCTTGATGATGGAAAACAGGTTTGGGCTGAGAATGTTCAATATATTATTATTACAAGGAACAAAAAGTACAATACACAATCCCCTAATACACTGGGGCAACCTTTAATACAGTAGGGCCAGATAGAAACACCTGGGTGACACTGCGAGCCGCACCTTAACATGGGCTATTTAGTTTTGATTATTGACTTATGGCATGCGCTGTTTGCACAATCTAGCTAATAAGGCATTGTGAGGTAATAAGCATAGATAATAAATTGAGCTCAGGTATAAGCTTTTCAACTCAAAGGGATTGGAATTACTCGTTTCGCGAGGCGCAATCATTAAAAATTGGCACTTCTCGGCAGGCTGCACAATTTTTCCTTGAGGGCCGCATTTGGGAGGTTGCACACCCAAGCCCTAGTACATCCAGATTTTATATTTTAGAGACAACAAGAAGTTTCAGTCATCCAAATTGTATTGCACTGAAAATGTTTGAAAAAATATCGGCCAAATTTTCATTTTACTGGAAAACTTCCAGCTTGTATAGCTGTCAGCTTCTTAGTGTTTGGATGGTTGTACGATAGCTTGCTTGCTACTTTTGAAGTCATTGAGATAGATTGATGTCATTGAGATAGAAGTGCAGTTCATTGATTGAAGAGTTTTGAAACCAGCTTTGTATTTACTAAATAGATACGGTGATAGTTTGTGTCCAACATAGCTAGAGTTTGCACTGAACTTGCACAGGGCCATAACATTCTGATGAATCTAGTTAAAATCTGACAATGACTGACTGAATGAAATCTGACAGTAGTTGTGTGTAAATAAGTTCTGATAAAAATTTTATTTTATGTATTAAATAACTTAAAATGATGAAAACTAATGAACTTACTGAAGCACAAATGTGATATGCTAGAATACAAAACTAAATTGTGCAGTGGACATGGCAAAAACAGAATTTAGATACGAAAGGTCTTATCTGATTTCCTCACCCTAAATATATAAATCATTTACTAGGACTTTAGGCTACATGAATAACCAACCTTAAGCTGCATCTGCAAATTCCATTCTTTCATATTTATACCACACAAAACGAAAATTAATCATTTTTAAAGTGAATTTGGGTTAATAAATTAAAAAATAATAGATGTACCAAAAAATATTGGGTAAATAAAAAATTCTCAATACTAACAATTGAAGACGGTATTCTTGCTATCATAGGAGAACTACTAGGTAGAGGAGGTTTAGCAGACACATTCGGTGAACGAGGAACTTCAGATCCTGATGTTATATAGATGGAACTATCCGATTGCATTGGTGAATCAGAAGTTAAAAATCTAAACCTGAAAAAAGAAATCTGGGTTAATAATGCAATTTTCTTACGTGTTGATTAAAAGTATACAGAGGAGATAATTTTCACCTATATCTATTTTTTTTAATGAGATTTAGATGAGTTTTCTACACCTTCATTTTAAATAAAACTTCACATGTTAACTTGTGTGTTCTCATTTACATTTTGTCCAGGTGATTGTCTTCCAGGGATAACTGTGCTTTGATTCTATTTCCCACTCTTTAACTGACCGATGGTCAGCAGGATGCTATGGCATTGTGGGTAAAACCACTGAAGCATGCTTCCTGGGTAAAAGGACTGTCCTGCTGGTCTCCAGAGGTCATTCAATACTTTGGTAAATCAGAGGCGACATGTGTCTTATGTCTGACTTTATATTCTGTTATTTGTGGTGATAACTGAACTGCTTATTATAAGTATCGCTTGTGTTCAATAAAACATTAATTTACACCAGTCTGTGGTCCTCTTTCATAGACTCAGTATTGAAAGCTCCCTGCTCTTCTATGAAATTCCTAATTGTAATTCTAACGAGTTTTCATCAGGTATTTTATGGGCCATGCGGCCCATGCCACAAGTCTACAAACAGACGCAAAGAAAATAAATGCATTACAGTCAGGTAAATGAACAAATAAAGATTATTATTATTACATTCATAGTCCATGGCCCCTAGGAGAGCCAAGGGCCCAGTTTCAAAACTCTGCTTCAAAAAGCCACTGAAATGAAAGGATCCATTATATTTGGCTGGGGGGACGGATAGATATGGACAGATAACTAGCAACACCAATGTAGTAAAGGTCTCTTAAAGTTTCGAACCATTTGAAACAACATTACCTCAGTTTCCCCATCTCTGCGTTTTGTTGATCGGTCAAAATATTACTTGTATAAAACAAAACATTGTCCGGATTCTTTTCCATTCCTCCCTAGAAGAAATAAATAAAAAATGCCGCAATTAATATGAGTAAACAGGGTGTCCATGAAGTCCCTTCACAATTTCAATTTTGTTATGAAGTTAGTTCTTAACATATCTTAACCGGGTTTGTTGTTTTTTAATCAGTAATTTTTTTTAAGTATTTTTACTTCTTCAATACAAAAGTGCCAACGATGAATGGTATCGATAAACTCCCTTTGCAATTGTCAAAAAATTTTAAGACTTGATGGACAACCTATATTACCTCTGATTAAAGATATCAATCAAGAATATGGGTTAGTGTCAACTGTCAATAGCAACTTAACCATTCATTGCATTGAATTTTGTAGTTTGTGCGAAGAGTGCTTCAAAGGTATAGGTATCGGATGTTGCATACTACATCAAAAAATAATAAGAAATCCAAGCTTAATAGCTTGAGCCAAAGTAGGTATTTGGTTGAAATATTAAATTTCAAAAGTGAGAAATAAAATGTTCACCTGTAATGTCAATGTTATAAAATTATCTGTAGACTGTTGGGCGAATGGGCACCAAGCTGTCCATCTGACTGACATTGAAAGAGGCTGAGAACGTATCGATCCTGCTGATCCTATAGTAAAGAAATAAAAGTTTCAGTTCTGAGCCGATTTCACACTTCACTTTGAACAAGGATGTATACAACAACCACCAACAAGAAAAAAGTTTCCTCCTAGTTCAGTATTAACTTAAAAAAAAAAAAAACTTGAGAATTTTAAATTTTTACCCTGTGATTCTTCCATAGTTAGGTCCAATTCTCTGACAATTGGAACATTGGTTGCAATATAATGTTTAATCCATATAACTCAAATTAAATTCTCTCAAATCAAATTACATAAAATTTGTTGGCAGTCGAGTTGAAGCCAAGACTTGAGGATCAACTCTAACAGCATAGTCAAGTTATTGAATTAATCTTATCTTATTACAACATATTTTTGTTATAAAATTACCTTTAACAACAGCTTGTGAAGTATAAGGAAGAGCGAATAAATATTCAATTTGCATAACTACCGCAAGTCCAGGATCCACTACCATCTCATCTAATTGTACTCGACTTCGAAGTACTAGACATGTTGATTCAGTGCTGAAAGAAATATTATTAGAATGATTCAGGCTGTCAAGGCATGTCCTAATTCAGCTAGTATAAAAGTCTGTATATTGGCCAATACAATATTCCAGATCAGTCAACTATTGAAATATCAATTTCACAACAAGTCGAGTCACACGACACTCCTTTATTACCTAGAATCAAAGTCCAGGTCAGTAAATTTCCTCTTACAAGGACTAAAATAGTTGAACTATACAGGTTATTTACACATTTTATAAGTTTCTGATTTCAACCAACTTGACACTAATGCCCTTCATTTCATTTAACGATGTTTTCAAATTGTAATCTCCAAACATAAAATAATTATTTATCAAAGCGTTTGCTAATTTTGACAGTGCTGTAGACACAAGTAATTTAAAAAACAAGAATTGCCTTACGTATTTTTGAGGTTTTATACAAGTGAAGATATAACTTATTATAACATAAAATATGTGGTTCGCTCCAAATCGATGTGATTCGCTCCAAATACGGCCCCATACAAGCAGCTACTGCACAGTCATCTAATGATATGTAAGAAGCTACTTTTTAACTGGAAGGACTGGACTCTTTCCAGTTGAGCACAGCATACCCAATTCATTGCAGCCTGGGTAAGGTGGGGGGGAAGGGATTTGAACCTGAAATGTGTAACCTGCAATGCCAACACAGTTAAGCCTAATTTTTGACTAACTGCCGGATCATCACACCCGCCAACGTGATAACATATAACCAAAGTTTTAATTTGTCAAATTATTAAGAGCCTGATCGAACCATTCCTCCTCAATTATAAACTTACTATAAACAATTGGTGAATACTCACCTGGCGACATTGCTGGTATCTTTTCGTTTTCCTCGTCCAAAGCTTCCCAACCTTGCACCCATAATTGCTTCAGGTTCTAGTTGAGCAAATTGAGGTTTTTGAATATAACAGTATCCATTATGTACACCAACCTGAAAAAAAAAATAGAACGATATTTGAAACTTATATGTCTAAGCAATCTTGGGAATTGTATATTTTTTTGAACAGAAACATCTTCATAAAATTGGAATTCCTTAATGCAAGTGGTGATAGAGTAGTGGTTCCCAAAGTTGATTGACCAGGGGCCGAAATTAAAAGAAGAGGAAGGATATATGCAAGCCAGAAGAAAGAAGCGCCCACAGTGGGACTGAAACCGATACCGGTACATATATTCAAGATGCCGATATAATTAACTTGTTATGAATATACACCTGCTTAAACTGTGATTAAAGTATAGGATACAATTTACGAATTTACCATTAATCTCCTTTCAGTGATTGTGACAGTTTTTCCATCATCTTCAGCTTTGTCCTTTTTCAAACGATCTTGATTTATTCTCAAACAAAGTTGTGATTCAAACTTATCAACGGACATTGATCCAAAATTTAATGCAAGTGTGTCAAGATAGCATGTTTGATGAGGAAGACATTTTGGTTTCAGATAATGATCTGGTGCTAAAGTAAATTGGAAAGAAATAAATTTTTAACAAATTTAAATACTCAAGATTTTGCGAAACAGAGAAATTTTTCTAATGAGAAAGCAAAATTGTAGCAATATGATCACTGATATGTTAGCTGGGCAAAGTTGATGTTTTATCATAAGCTGCCTAGCTTCCCAAACTAATAGGCCTATATGTAAAAATTATCAAAATTTATTTGTTTTGGTTCATGCCCTATGGTTCCATTTTAAACATTTTGTATTATTATGAATCCCATATTTTTTCATTCCACATGCGCAGTGGAAAAGTGGATTAGCTTTGGTATCCGAATCTTCAGCAAATAAACATCAAAACTCTTCTAGAAAAGCTGTTCTACTGAACCTTTATTAATACAATGCTTTCATCACTTTACTCAAAAAGGTCTTCATACAAGAAACCACTGTATTGCCTAATTATGGATTTCTGGGCTCATCACTATTGTAGGGTGGTTACATTACAGCTTTCTCCACCATCAAGTCCCTGCATCTGAAAATAAACTTCCTAACTAATCCCATACCCAACGTTCGTCATATGATTAAGCTATTTTATCGGCTTTCCTCTTCCCCCGAAATAAATATGTAAAACCTATTCTAATCAATTCAATACAACCTGAGTGAGGTGATGGGCATGACGCTCTAACCCGTGATGACGACATAGTTAGCTCAGATGCTTCAACTACTATCCCTGATGACTAAAAGCATCTAAAAGTGGTAATCATGAGATTGCTTTGAACAAAACATTTTGTGAATGTACCTGTGCCAGATTTGGAAAAAGCTTCTGCCATTCCAGGAAGACATTTATACGATGAAAACAAAACATTATCAGGCATTAAATGCATCACTGATTGAAGATTTTTATGTTTTTGTATAGTGTATGATAGTTGACATCCTGTAATCAGTTGGATATGTTCGTTTGCTAAAATGAAAGTAACAATTTTATCGATAAGGCATGATTGATTAGAATTGTTTTATAATCAATAATAAAAGAACACAGAGTCTCTAAATTCAGACATAATTCAAAATTGTTAGATGTAGGAAATATAGAAAGTTTTTATAGTTTTTTGTCTGTTTTATAAAAAAATGAAATTATTTCATATTTAGGTCGTCTTGGAATCAATTTATTGCAGTCAAAAGCAAAAAATAACTTTGGTTCTAAAACCAGATAATTAATACCAATTATGTAGAACCAGAGAAAAATAAAATTAAAAAACATACTTTCAATGTGATCACCCATAAACAGTAATGCCCTCGGCGTTCCTTGATAGACATCCATTCTAAAAATAAGATTTTGTTTAATAATAAAAACTCATTCCCGAATAGGTGTTTAACAGATCAGGTAAACAGTTTATTAACATCATACTTCCAAAGTCTGTCATTCGTACAACAGGAATTCCCATCAGTCCTATCAAACAAGACCATTTTCAAGATAATCACCACTTGAAATCATAATATTGGTTGGCTCTTCCGCTTTCATTAAATTGCCATATTTAAAAAAAAATGGTATTTATACCATTTAACAGCTATATCTGTTAAATGGTAAGAACAGTATAAACCAGTGGTGGGCAAGGTTTTGGACCAAGAGCCAAAAATTTTGCCCCTTATCAGGCGGTCCAGATTAAGTTACCCCTGGGCCGTATTTGGCGAGCGAGCCGTAGTTCGCCCATGTCATGTATGTACCCTCAGAACAATTTCATCATACTTTCTAACTGTAGGTGCCATCTGATCAGCGATGTCCTTCAATTGAAGTTCAGGTTTAAAAGGTCGTAAGATTCCCCATCCCAATGTTCGTTTTGTTGTAACAGATTCATCTCCAGGTAAAGGATTCTTCGGACCTCTATGCACAACAACTTCAACAACTAATATTACATTTGGATCAGTGACCGGTGAGTGAAAATATACAACCTGAAGAAAATTATAAATTTAAGCTATCAAATTCGGATAAACCAATAATATCAATAACCAATATCAGAGGCCTAATCACCATTATGAAATAAGTTTTGATTACTTGAGTGAGTATCGGTTTGGGTGAACATTCAATTTTTAATTTTTTCAGATAGATTTACTTCATAACATCACTCGTCTATTGCAAATTCTATATTACCGGTACTTACAATTTCCAAATTTAGAAATGGATAAATAATTTCACTACATTTATTTTAAATCTTGGCTATGAACTGGTTCAGTCAGTCTATTGCATGATCTAGTTCTACCAGTCAATGTACCAGTATTTTTATATAAAGTCATATATTTTTTACCCAATGATTAGAAGCGATTAGTGTCACACAAATGTTTTATTTCAAATATACAGAACCAGTGTTCACTATTAGCGCACTTTTTTGCGAAAATTGCGAAGCACTTTCTCAACTTTTTTTAGGGACTGCGAAATAGCACTTTTTTCCGATTTTGAAGAGAAATAGCACTTTTTTCCGATTTTGAATGGAATAAAAATTCAAAGTTAACAAATATTTTCGAGTATTAAATTGACAAATAAGTAACATACTGGTACTTTTGTAACTCAATTCTGCACATCATAACGATATTTACCGGAATTCTAACCTATGAGATGCAGACATAGGAGATAAAGCTTTTGCATTAACGGCAAAATTCTTGTTTATAATATGATTATTATACAAGCACACGGATTCCGCTTCTCCCGGGGCGTTTCTTTGAACGAGAGTGGTCATGTGACTATCAATGATATCGATGAATTCAAAATGACTATAAAAAGTGTTAGTAACGTGTTATAGTCACTTTGGATGAATTGTGACCAAACTGCACGATTTTCAAATCAGACGAAACTTTTAGCTGCATGTCACAGATTTGCAAAATCAACAAATTCACAAAATACCATTAAGTGCCATTTTATTGTAATCACAATGTTGAAAGGACGTGGCATTTTCCGGAATTTTGCGATATTTACACAACTATTTCTCATTGATATGCGAGGAGGGGTGGGCAAAATTCAATATTTTTTTAAATCGAATATTTTTAAGGAGTACCGAATAAACGTGGTGGAAACATTAAAAAATCGGCAACAAAGCCTTTTTACTGGTTAATTCCGTTGTAATCGCTGATTGTTCTTGTCACCGATCGTTTTGGCGGCGATATCCAGGTTTTGGGTAATCTATATTCCCGCCCTCTCTTTTTTACAAATATATATATGAATTCTTGTCGGTCGGCGGACATCGAAGTTTTATATTTCGTGTTTACCCGTTCGTTCACATCGGCAACAAATTAACATTTGCGCTGGCTTTAATATTACCTATCAAGATTTGTAAATTTACCGTCCCAATTTTATGCGCATGGTAATATTATTGTCCATACCGTGATGCAGATATTTATTAAGACGATAATTAACTTTCTCATGTATTTCTATGGTGATAAACTTCGCAAATCTGAAATTGTGCCAATCCTGAATGTTGATTTGAAATAGTGATTGAATAATTCGGCTATAAAGGCATTTCTGCGTGGTCATAAGACGAGATGACGTTAATGAACAGCACTTCTTTTACAGGATATTTTACGTATGCGACTTAATGCTAAAAAGATTGGGCTCGAGTGCTTTTTTTTTCGAGTGCTCGAGTGCCTAATAGAGGGAGGTCAGGCGCTAATTGTAACTAATTCCCTCAAGTTTCAACGTGTTTACAACAAAACAATACCCCGGCGATAATTATAGCTAAAATGTTACCGAGCAATTCACAATTTTATTTATGGAATTTGCAAATTCACCTGTTTCTTGACGATTTTGATATTGTCACGCCCTAAATATTAGTGCAAAAAATACTCCCCTTGTTCCGCGGCGGTTTGACGGGTTCTCTGTTCCATTCTTCAGAAAGTTCTGACACGGGGGATATAGAATACTGAATCCGGAGGGTTGAATCCCTGTCCACTTACTGGTGATTTTCCGTTTTGAAATGCGTGAAACATTCTCTATTTTAAATTAAATGACGTTTCGCGGGCTAGAGTTCTCCCCGAAAATGATGTGTTCCAGACGTTAGTTAGACGATAGATAAAACATTAAATTAATAATTTTCGTGACGCCCCGTTTTCGAAAATACAAAGTTATATCGCGTTATGCGTTATGATACATTTGGAATGAAACATTATTTACGGTGAATTCAGATCACATTTTACTCTCCATGACACCCGGTATCCGAAAATACAGTTGTATCTCGAAAAATGTGTTTTGTTACATTTAAAAAAAAACATTTTTGCGATTAATTTAGATCATATTTTGCTTTTCACGACACCCTATTCCGAAAATACAAGGTTATATCGCGAAAATGTGTTTTGTTACATTTAAAATAAAACATTTTTGCGATTAATTTAGATCATATTTTACTTTTCAGGACACCCGTTTTCGAAAATACAAGGTTATATCGCAAAATGTGTTTTGTTACATTTAAAATAAAACATTTTTGCAATTAATTTAGATCAAATTTTACCTTTCACGGCAACCCGTTTCCGAAAATACAAAGTTATATCACAAAAAATGCGTTTCGTTACATTTATTTTGCATTCCCAATAAAATACATATTTTCCCTAATTAAGTTCGTCGATGAATCTGTTCCTGTCGTTCAAGCTCGACACACGTTTCGACGAGTGTGGGGCGGTTTTTTGATCGACGATAAATTAAAAAGTTGCCACACGTTATTTGTATAACGATAATAACTGAAAATTAAGATTTTATAATAGAAGTGAATTTGTCTCAAGATGGTATTTTACGATTCCTGCCCACAGGAAATAAACACGCTGACAGGCTTGGTTATAATTGATATTCGTTTAATTTATTTTACACTATTAAAAAACGCGCCACACCAATTGCGACCATATAAATTGCAGTCGCATCGGTATGGACTGTATGTTTTTGGCGCTCTCAAATTAATAATAATTTTCAACAACAATTTGTTTACAATTTTAACATCCCGCCGGCCATATATGGTCGAATAAAATATTCGAAACATGACTTGGCCAAGGATGGAAGGGATCACTAAAGAGCTAATAGAAAGTACATACGCGAGGGTATGATATTAATATCGAGAATATTTGTGAGCATATCACAGGACGGAAATATTTTGCACCCAGCTGTTTGTTGGCAGAACAACGATACGCTAAAGTTAATTGATCGAATACAGGGAAGTATTTATTTATCATCTCACTTGCGAACATCGAGGTTTTGGCGGAATTGTACGATCATGTTGTCTTTCTTAAATAATAACTTTTTCAATAAATGTTCATTTTACTTTTGCGTCTTTATTATATGTCTGGTTTTCATTTATTTTAAATTCGAAATTGTCCGAAATACTCCAACAGGTGTATAGGTACAATAATAATAGTACTTACCAAAGTACCTACCAGGGAAGTTTAATACACAGATGTGTAAAGGGCGTCGTAACTCCCGTTTATTAATTATAAATTTTTTTACATTCTGCTTAAAAAACAACGGCAGTCATCTCACGTAACTCTCGCGACCAAATCTTTTTTGTTTTGTATGGCATCGTCTTGGCGACGAATTTATTGCCGACTGAATTTTAATTGTGTTTTAGGTTAGTTATTTTCTGTTTGTTGGTTTCTAAACTTTACAAACTTGGGTAGCAATTACTATTAATGTGAGATTTGTGCATGTGGTCGAATAAAAATTATTTATCAAATGGCTTGGTATTTCGAGACACTCTCAAAATTATTTGGGATCCATTATCATATCATTCGTTTATTTTTTATATTCATGTTTTTCTCAAGAATCACCCTCGTTATATTTAGTGTACCTTCGCAAAAGAAAACTCTTTGATGTCATCGTTCCTATTAGTGTAATTGAAATATATGGAAAACCTCGCAAGTGGCGTTGTGATGCGAATATTTGATACTAGGTCAGCAGCATTACAAAGAGTGCTATTTATGAATGCTGAAAGTACATGACATTACTAAACATTTTGCCAATATATGATGTTTTCTGCCCGATTTAAACTAACTCGCACGCAAACCAAGGCATGTGGACATTTAAAAATTACTTGTCTTTGGGTAAGCTCTGAAATAGTATAATATAAATGTAAATGAGAAATTAGGTCACGCTAGCTCACGAAACGGGAGGATTTTCAAAGTGATCTTGTGTAATATTTCGGAGAAAAAAGTTTGAAAGGAAAGTAGGTCAACCTATCTCCTAAAACAGGGGAGTATCCTGCGTAATATTTCGGAGGGAACGTAGGTTAACCTATCTTTTAAAACAGCGGGTGGCGACTTTCAAAGTGGTTCAAAATAACAAATTAATAATTATCAGATTAGGTTTGGGGATGAATCGAAAAGTTGAATTTCCAGCGCACCTAACCCTAATTCGTTGATTGCTATTTATATTTGGGGGGGGGGGGGATTATTTTGCACCGGATTTGTACAAACGATCCACCCTGTAACTGATATGGTTTCCAGCCGGCCTCCTGTCTGTTAGATGGAAGGAGTAACAAATGTGAAAGTCTTTGCTGTTTACGCGAGTAAGCAACTGACACCGTGATACATTGCATGAAAGTTTTGTCCGTGGCAGGTGTTAGCAGATGTCATTTCGTTGCCGATGAATTCGCTTGTTTTAATTAAACATGAATTCGCTTAAAGGGAACTCGGTTAACGAAAAGGCTTCTCTTTAATTCATAATATTAACCGGAGGAGCGCTTTTTCGAATATCTATGCCGTTTTAAATGGGTTATATGAAAGGCTAGGGCACCTAACTTGTTAAAATCGGCAAAAGCACTTTCGCACTTTTTTTTGGACTGCGAAGCACTTTCGCACTCATAATTTGCTTAGAGGTAACACTGTACAGAACTCAAATATTGATAAGCAAAGACAAAAGTTCACATATTTCTAACAAATGTCCTGTCATACAAGTTCATTCTTAAGTAATGAATTATATGGAAATAATGTTTCCAAAAGTGTTTGTGTGTCATCAAATAAAAATATAAAAACAGACCTTGTTTATATTTAATTCTGAACGTTGAATTGCTTCGTCTGTTGGAGAAATAGTTTTACTTTTCCAAGTTTCTCCAAGAAATTGTTGATATACCACATCATACAAACTGAGCCGGATTTCATATTGCGAGCTGTAAACTTCAGGTGCATTCTGAAATAAGAAAGTACTTCTACGATCTGCTGAACGCAATCCAAAAACAGGTGGAATGGTTGTCTCTCGCCACGAAAAATTAGAGAAACCAGTGTGTTGAAGCAATTTCCAAGTATAGCCTATATTCGGCTCGAAGGCAACCTACGCTATGTGCCTACGTAGGTTCGAACGCTACAAGGAATGTGGCCATGTGCCAGTGGATTGCTGGACTCGCCGTCGTCAAAGGGTGCAGTTGGATTCGGCATCGCCATCAACCTTGGTCATGCTCATGCATATGTATCATTGCAAAATAATTAACCAAATCCCCATATTCTGGGCATCATGGATAATCATGAATGCTACTCTATGAAAAGATATTGCTTTTACAGCATCATCATGAACTACAAACAACTTATTCAAATACAATAATATAATAGTTGTAAGTTGTAAATAGACCAATAACATTTTTGTCTCATCACTCATTAGTCACAACCCTACGTAGGTTCACTAGTACAAAGCCTGCAGGTGAAAATTCTGTGAAATAAAATTGCTGCATTCCTTGCCATTGCAGGACTGGTCCATATGACTGCTGCTACATTACAGACATTTCCAAAACAAAAGTTAGCTTCTTACAATGTACTACAAGTCTATAATATTACAAATTTCCAAGAAATAAAATAATGTCATGCAACCTAATTCATATATTTTAATATACCGGTATATTATATTATATAAATTAATATTATATCTTGGAATGATAAAAAAATAAAAGTGAATAAGTTTCATTACAAGAACACATTTCTTATCTAGTAATTAATTTACCTCTTTGTCATTTATAAATTTTGTTAAAATATACAAATTAATTCCGAAGCCAACATTTTTTCGTTTTTCATGCGATTCTTGTATTTTCAAATTCCAAAATCCACCCGTAGTTAATTGTCGTTTCTTATATGGGGAACGTACAATAGTTCGAAAATTTGAGAAATGTTTTATATCAGTTTCATAATTTTTCTTCAGCAGTTTATGAGCTGTACCATCCATTGTGTAAAATTGCTCAGAAATTGCATAAGATTCAAATACATCTTGCGAAGGAAGTCTAAATGCTACCGTTCTCCGACAAAGATCAGTTTTACCAGTTTCTTTGGATGAATCTGGTTCCATAATGTATCCAAAATTATGATTATCAGGAAATAATTATATTTGATTAATTAATAATTTAATCTATTCCACAACCTATCTCATTGAAATATAAATTGAGCATAGTTTTTAAAGTTGAACATTATAATAATATTATATTCCATACACACTACCCTATGACAAGATAAATCTGTGATAAGAGCACTCAACTGTTTCAATTTCCCCCTATCCGAATAACTTTCAACAGCTTCACTAATAAAGTCTCATATAGGCTACATGTTATATGGATTGTCTCTTCGCTTCCTAAACCCTGGGGCTTCCTAAACCCTGGGAAGTTCGGAAAACTATATTCAATCTTAATAAATTATAGTCACACGCCTGATCATATCAATTATTCTTGTTCCGTTTGTAGTCAAAATTTCCGGGGTACATTCACAATAACCACTTTAACCTGAAAACTAGCAGATAACAAACAATACAGTACCAATAACTCTGTGGTTAGCAGGCTATATTTTATGCTTCACTAAATCTCAAGCATGGTTAAACGCAACAACATTTTCCACAAGTGTACTATAGATGCGAAAACAAGCGAAATCAAAACCGTTGCCTGGTGTCCTTATAAATATATCGCTATCATAAAATGACCATAAAATTTTAACAGCTCGCCTCCTTCTCAAATAAAAACTTGAGATCTTTGGTCTTAATAGGTAATAATAGTCCATTTCACTTTTTAATAATAAATTTGAAGTCCATTTGTTTTGTAGTATTTGTACCGAAAATTTAGCTTATCAAAGTCTATCATGAAGCAAGCATGGGGCAAGGATGAAGCATATATGATGAGGTAGTATATCCATCTACCATGTTTGAGAAATGCCATTATAAACCATCTTTGTTGAACTCGAACCATTGTTCTGGACTACAACAAACCCACACTATAAATACATCAGAAGTGTATTTGCTAAGTGGTTGTTCAAGACACCGATAGCCCGATACCGCGGTTAAGTAAACCATTTTTGGAACCTGGTATATTTGATTTAATTACCTAAAAGGGCGTTACTGACCTCAAACCTAGTTATTGATCTGAGAGTATTTAAGAATTTAAATACTAATTGAAGATAACTAAGTTAGGATCCAAAAATATAAAAGACCATGGAACTCTGATGTCACATTATTATAAGTGCAATAAAATCAAATTCATATTAAGACAAATTTATCCAGATTGGCTTTAACTTGCTAGCAATCTCACACAGCATTTTAAAATTTCAGAAATCTTGAATGTCCAGATATCCATTTATAAGATTTAATTCATTTAATTTAAATAGTGGCAAGTTAATATGTAACCTACTAAACCTATAAAACTAATGATAATGCTTGGTATTTAATAGCCTTCATATCCTGTGTTTTATGTCAGAGATATCATACTAGTACGTACGTGATATATCAATATTTCTCATCCAAGGGCGTGACTACAAACTTGTCAAAGTAAATATGGAAGTATAATACCCAAAATTTAATGAAAAAAATTTTCCACAGATTTTCTCAATATTTAATTGAGAATAACTCCAATAATAATCAACAATAATTTCAAAATTTAGTTTTTCAAATATTTACATTGCAAAAAAATTGGAAAAAAACATCTTCATCATTGTCCAATTTCAATATTTTATTTTATTCTTCACTAACAAATTTTCCAGCATAAATAAAATAAATCTCAAATTGACAAGTTCCTTAGAAACAGAACATTAGTAAACATATCCTAAATATAAATCAGTCCTCGATATTTAGCATTGAATATGAATATGGAAAAGACTTTAAAACTGAAAATCCACTATTTCGGTGAGCCATTGCTAATCATGCCTAAAATCTTGGAACCTTCATATCCAGCTAAAAGATTATTGAATTTTCTGTTGCTTTCTCATTACAAAATCTAATTTTGTTCGTCATAAAAACTTGTAATATTGTTTATATAGTCTAGTAATCAAATCCTTCGACAACCCAAACACCTCAAATCCCAACTGGTTTAAGGAAACCAATTTTTGAAATTGAGGTAAGGCAAACACATGTTCACTCCTGTGCTCTGTACCAAAATATTGACCACACTAGCTCCCTTCCAGTGACATGGCATCAGTTGATTAATCTAGGATTAAATACCAACATTCAACAATGTGCTTATGAAAAGGATTACATTGCTTTATTAATGATCCTATGCATTACATTGTGAAATCACCTACAATATCAAATTTACCGGTATATTACTTTGGCATGAATGAATAAGAGTGGTGGATTATTGAAAAAAATTGCTAAAGATTGTAAATGAAATTCGACAGGTATGGAATATAAAATAAATTTTGAATATTGTGATTGGTAACTTTAGACTAGAAGAAAGTCTTATACTACCGTATATGAATTAAAGTGATTGGTAGCCAACCCAGTTTGAAGAATATAATATATATATATATAACCTGGTAACCATGATTTAAATACCACTGGCCAAAACCAAATAATTTACAAATCTATCTGAATCTGAATCTAGAATAATATTTTTAAATATTCTAAATTGGGTCAAATTTAATAACAAAGAAGTCGATTTAAATTCAATGGGTTTTGTACTTGAAATATATGAAAGGTAAAATGTGATTGCTTCCTTATTCTTGTTTATAATTTAGTATTTGATTAGATTTAGACATCCTTGTATTACATATATTGATGAAAGCAAAATATGGATTAATGAGCAATGATGATTCAAAATAAGTGAAGAGTATATGAACCAAGTTTAGTTTAGCACAGGGGTGTGCAACCTGTGTGCAAATGCGGCCTTGGAGGGAAAAATTGTGTGGCCCGCGGAGAAGTGCCAATTTTGAATAATGTACGAGCCACCTAACAACGTTTAAATTTAATTTGGTACGCGCGAGTGATTCCAATCCCTGGCCTATACCCAAGTCGAATTTTTTATCTATGACTTTACAATGCCTTAACAGCTTGCTTGTGCAAACAACGCATGTGACATGATCAATAACCAAATTTTTGTGCTTGCAACTACTAGATAGCCTATGTTAAATACAGGTGCAGCCCATGGTTTCACCCAGTTATTTCCATCTGGCCCTCCAATAATAAAGGTTGCACAACTCTGATTTAAATGGATTATTAACAACATTAAACATAGAAAGATATGAGATATGAAAGATTACAAGATACTCTAAAAAACAGAGAAACTATGCTCTGCTGTATAATCACAAAATGAGCTCACCAATGATCGATATCCAGTTATCGATTGAATTTTTACTTGATAACCTGTAGAAGGTGTCACAGCTGTTCTATCATTATGTGGTTCAACATCATTAAATTCTTTCATCACAGAATGCCATGATGGCATAACTTTCTTAACCATCTTCTGACAAATATCACTTTAAAAAACAAAGGAAACGATTTAACGATGTTTAATTAGCAACTTATAGAGAAGACATATACAGTGATACCACGGAGGCCTTGGTGTACGACTACTGATTTGTTCAAGTACTGAGTAACTTTTTTGCCATAGGAAACAATGGTAATTATATTAACTCGCTCTCACGCATTACAAAATACCAAAAGCATTAACAAAATGTGTACCTAAACAACGATAATTATTTGAATGTGTACATAATACAGTAATACAAATTACTGAACATAATTAAGATAAAAATATTAAACATTTATCGTCGGCGCAGATGCCATTTCGTCCGATAGTAGCTATACTTGGCAAGCTCTATATGGCGTGATTGTGACATCGTAGACTCGTAGTGACATAATTTTTGAATTACATAGTCAGGTGGGGGTTAGGTATAGCATATACGAAATTCGTTATGCTTCACCCACCGGAAGTGCATGTGGTACCAAACTATACCAGACCCCAGTTACATTACGTTTGAGCAAATTCAGAAATTTCTGTAGCTCTATAAGATTCGTTTTCTGTGTGCGATGACGTCATTAAAAATTGCGCAACTTGCAGACTTGTGACGATTCCGCTTTCGCGGTAGTTGTGAAGATTGCTGTATTCAGGTATTGCAGTATTGGCAGTATACCAGTAGACTATACCGTGATATATTGCATACCCACACTCATTCGTTTTGGCCTTCGTGTCTATGTATTAGAGCATCACTACTTCTGTATTTGAAATCATTTGGTCAACTACAAAGTTGTTTGAATAAAGAGTCGTTCAAATGCGGAGATATCACTGTAATTGAAATAATCAATACCGGTATTCCATACCGTAGTCCAGTAGGTAGTCAGGCACCGCCAATGGTAGGCTATATGCACTTCAGCACTTTGCTAAAATTAGCGATTGTTTTCGTCGGCGACTGTTTTCGTCGTTATTTAGACGGTAAACGCCTTTACGTTGGTGTTTATTCTCTCTAAATCACAAATTTGTTATTGTACCCCCCAACTGACTATGTAATCCAAAAATTACGTCACGGGAACCAACGCCACCATATCGCGTTCAATCTCATATCGGAAAGCAGGATAAGTTACCTTTAAACAGCGCTCCGTCTGTGTCTTGAGAGGATTTGCGTAAAAACTTACAACGACTTCGTTCTGAATTCAGATTTCTGGATATTCCCAAACTTGTCGTCGATGAGATTCAGTTATTCATCGTAGGCTATAGGCTACAATCATACAATACAGAGTTTTTTCATCATTTTGTTTGTTTTTGTTTTGATTGTCGTAACTGTAATGTACGCATGAATGGCAATGTATTTTGTCGAACTTTGACCCTCATAATATTAGAATTTGTTGATTCAAATTAAAATGTTGACATGTTTTTACTAACAAAAAATAAATGAAAAAAAACTTAAAAAATTCCATTTTATTTTGAACTGTGGATATTCAAGCGCCTTCTATTGAAAAATAATGATATCTAATGTTATCCAACGCTTAGGTATTTAAGCCTATTTGTAAGAAGAATCCTAGACTCCTCAATTTAAAAAAATACTTCACCCGACTGGAAGACGTTCACAGACATAGATAGATAGTTTACTCGAATACTCAATAATATACAGAAAGTTAAAATGAAAAATTCTGGAGGGCAAGCAATACTTCTCAACAAGTTTAAAACATGGGAAATATCATGTGCCCGCCCACCTGCACACACACAGAAATAAATTACAAAAAACACAAACCTAGTTAAAACAAGGTTTGCGCCAGAAATAGGCAAACAAAAGATAGTCGAATGTATAGGAACTTCCGGGCTGTTATACTTTTGAAACGCCTAAGCTGTTGCAATAATAATGACCAATTCAATGTGAATCGTATATAGCATTGGTTCTCAAACTGGGGTCCGCGGACGCTTAGGGTCGGCAAAGCGATTCTGGGGGGACCGCAAGACAATTTTGATTGATTTAAAAAAAAATTTGTGTTTCTCCAAAGCACGACATCGTCTACCGAAGACATTATTACTTAATAAACGTGGCAACGTCAGTGAATCAGAGCGTATTGTTTATGAAGGCGTGTGCTTCTGATTGTAAATTTTCTCGGGGTAATTTAAAAATGCCCCCCCCCCCCCCCCCCCCCCCGTCATAAAAGGTAAATTTAGATATAACAATTAATATGTCAAACTTAGTTTTGCTGTGATAAAGTCTGGAGAAGAAGAAAAACCATCCCGATGTCGCTAAGATGGCACAAAAAATGCTCATTCCATTTGCAACAACTTACGGATGTGAGGCAGCTTTCTCTACATTACACGCTATTAAAACAAAATGTTGGAACATAAAGAACGTGAGACACAATATAAGAGTTGCATTGCCCGAAACAGAAACCAAGGCCAAGGTAGAAGAACTAGTGGGAGCCAAGCAGGGACACCTATCTCATTGAACTGTTTTATTGATATACCGCGTTGCTATTTGCTTTAGTTTTTTCGTGAACCGCTAGTCATCAGAAAAATTGAAAGGGGGCCGCACATTTTTACCGCGCACATATACCGCGTTGCTATTTTCTTTAGTGAACCGCTAGTCATCAGAAAAATTGAAAGGGGGCCGTTATGCACATTTTTTCAAAAAGTTCAAGAACCACTGGTATATAAGATAAGATTTACATATTCACCCCGGGGGAGAGGAAAGTCAATAGGACGGCTAAATCATATGGCGACTTTCCAGTTTTCGCCATAATCCATTCCGCCCTCTTTTGGACGAATGGGCCAAAAATTATATTTTTGTTGAAAAAAGATCGTATGTACATTAATTTGTGAATATACCTTTAATACTGATTACTGAATACAGGTGTCGGTGGATTACAGGTGTCGCTGCTCGATAACCAACTTTGGTTTTTCGCGTCACCTTTCACCATGAAATGTCATTTTCAACTTTTTTTAAGTTCATGTTCACTGTGAGTGCATTTTCATTTTGGTGAAAAATAAACTACTGACTGACTGAATACGGTTCGGCGATGTGACGCATCGTGCTAAGCGTTAGGAATACGCTCGCCACCGCATCCCTGATTACCCTCCGTCGAATCCCATGCGGGGAAGGTCATGTGCGTGAGGATTGCTGGACTCCTCGCCGCCGTATAGGATAGGCTTTACATATTTATCCCGGGGGAGAGGAAAGCCGATAAGACGGCTTATCCATATGGCGAACCACGGCCTCTCGTCCGGTTACCATTCCAAATCGGGTATGGGATTTTACTGTATTGTTTGTTTTCGGAAGCATGGACTTGGTGGTGGAGGAAGCCGTAACCGACCAGCGGTTACGTGAACCACCCAACGACGGCGAGGAGTCCAGCAATCCTCTCGCACATAACCATCCCTGCATGGGATTCGAACCTGCGAACCCACGCAGAGCAATTAGAGGTGCGGTGGCGAGCGTATTCCTAACGCTTAGCCCGTTGAGCCACACGGCGTAGGATGGTTTACGTAACCGCTGGTCGGTTACGGCTTCCTCCACCACCAAATCCATGCTTCCGAAAACAAATACCTTGCTAACTAACCCCATGCCTGGACTGGTAACCGGACGAGAGACCGTGGTTTGTCATATGATTAAGCCGTCTTATCGGGTTTCCTCTCTCCCGGGATAAATATGTAAATCCTATCCTATCCTGGTGAAAAATTCTGTTCACAAGTGAAAACATTTAGGTATAGTCACCTACTTTTCTGATTGACAAATCGTTATAAACAACCACTCTATCTCCGTGTGGGTGTGTCGAGGGCTGGTGTTCATTGGAGAAACAAAACGTGTGTATCAGTGTTCCCAAAAATATTGAAAAAACAGCCAGCACCGCCAACAACAAGTGTTCGGTATTCGAATCATGCTATGCCGCTTCCCCGAATAAATAAGCCATAAGTTGTTAGCTGTGCTTTATCCGTCATAATTATTCAGATTCAAATACCATACAGGTACCGGTAACGGTACTTGTTGTGCTGCACTGTTTTTTAAACACTGTACCGGGATGTATCTGATCATGTAGGTGGGAGTGGTGACTCCTACTGCGGCCCATCGATTTTGGGCCTACGCCCATCAGGCTGATGGGCGCGGCCCATCTAGTTGTGTAAAGAAACTATTCCCTTGGCTAACACAGACAGTTCCCCGCGAACTCATAATAGAACTATAATGTAAAAAATCTGAATTTTTTTGTTCGTAACCCTAACCTGGCACAACATACACAGGAGTATATATTTTTTTGGTTCGAATATTGACAATTTGGTAAAATTTGAAAATTTTTGTTAAGGATAATTGAGTTTTTTCCTGATGGGGCCACGGCCCATCAAAGCTATGGGCCCACGGCCCATCAAGCTATGGGGCATGGCCATGTGGCCCAATTAGATGGGGCCGTGCCCCGGCCCATGGGCCGTAGAAGGAGTCACCACTCCTGTAGATCATGTATTGATCGTGTTATACTATGTGACGAAAGTACGGTAAGGAAACCAACTGACCTAAGGATAGGATTCAAGAGCAACTATTGATGTTGCCTTCAATTTTCACTGTCCATGTTGCTGATGGGTCTGGCAGTTGTGTACTTTCTACGTTTCTATGACTATAACTAGGCTTACCATATTTCTGACGCAAAAAAAACGGGACGACGCGGATTGGGACAAGCAACCTCGGTTAGATTCCAGAGGCTTAGTAATAGTTTAAACGTTTCCAATACCATTGTGGATAGATTGGGTCTAGTATAGTTTAGTACCACAAGTACTTCCAGTGGGCGTACCATAACGATTTTTGCATATGTTATTCCTAACCCTCACCTGACTATTCCATCCAAAAATTACGTCATTACGACGTCACCATAGGGGTTGCCAAAGTATAATTACGATCGCCCGAAATGGCATCTGCGCCGCCGATAAGAACTTGCTAAAGCCGGCGATCTCTCTCCTATTGTGATCATTGCGACGAGAAAACGAGAGAAATAGCTTGCTCGTCTGCGTGTTTGGGACGATCATCCGCATACTTCGGTGGGCCTTATTACGCCACTGTGACGTCGGAATGACATAATTTTTCGGTGACGTAGTCAGGTGGGGGTTAGGATTGACATATGCGAAAATTGTTGAGCCAGGCCAACTAGAAGTGGATGTGGTACTAAACTATACCAGACCCGATAGATTATTAAGGGTATCAAAATGAGCTGTTAATCCTGTCAAAATATCCTCTATTGCTGTATTGGCCTGCCCTTTGTCCAAATATTGGAAATAGTTCAGCTCATTATAAAACTTGTACTTTGTTTCGGCATTTCGATGATTCAACGACAGCATGGTAGGGTATTAAATTAAGGCATGGTTCATACTTCATATCATAACTATGACATAACAATTTTACTCCCTATCTGAACTAGTGAAGTGAGACGCAAATCAGCTGCATCTGTTAAAAAAATATTTTGTAATAGTATCAAATAGAAAAATTATTTATGACTGCCATACTGAAAACCGGGGCATTAGAGTCTATCGCCGAGACGGCGGAAAAATATGATATAACCGGGACTGTCCAGGCTAAACCGGGACGTACGGTAAGCCTAACTAGAACCATATTTTACCCTTTGGTGGTTTTCTTCACAGTTCAAAAATATACAGAAGTATTTGTCAGTAAATCAGTGTTAGCGTCTAACAGCTGTGCTGTAGGGAATGACAATGAAGCAGTAGCAAATTTGTGATGATATCTGTTAAATAGTAAATCATGTTCAGCCACCACGCATCATCTGGAAGTGTGTTCTCGGCCAACTCAATCTTGAGAAAACTTGTCAAACCCAGCAAGGTTCATGACGAGAGTGTCATTGAAATCATCGACAATGAAACTGAGCCTGGAAACATATTTTTGATCAATGCATTAGTAACCTGTGTTATGCCAGAAGAACACGGTGGATGCAATTATGGTGTGATATATTTTGACTTGAATCAACATTTTGATTTATTATCTTTGATTTCAATGATGGAAGAGCGTACAAATGCTAATGAATCTAAGATAAAAGAATGGATAAGAAAGTTTTATATTGTAAGATGTGATTCTGTTGAACAATTGATAATCACACTCTATTCAATTGAACCTTTGATTGCAAACAGCAAAATACCTGTGAAATTGTTAATTCTTGATGGACTGTCTACATTTTATTGGAACGAGCAATGTGCTGGAGGTTTTTCTCAATATTTGAAAGAGCAAAATTATAGAAAACTGGTGAAAGCTTTAGACTTATTTCATAAAAAATATAACCTTTCTATTTTGGTTCGTACTCTTGAAATGTTTCCACCAATCACTGCAGAAAATGCTGACCAGGAATTTGACCCGAGAAACCTAAAATTATATGGTGATTTTTGGGAGAATTTTGTAATATATCGTTTTATTTTAAAATTCAAAAAATCATCAACCACCAGTAAGATTGATGATATTAATCGGACAGATGTAGTTCTTAGTTGTTTTTCACCTGGCCATTATGATGTATCATTTTCTCTGAAAGGCATTGTAGTGAAATAGTTCTACTCCTTTTTACTGGAATAATTGAGTTAATTTTTATCGGTTGCTGCAAATAGTTTAGTACTAATTTTTTAGTTACACATATATTATTAAAATGACAAAGTTTCATATGATATTCTGTGGCAATTTTTTCCAAGCAAATATTTCAAGCATTGGTCGATATTTTATTAGAATTGAGTAACTGTGAGTTGACATTTTCTCAATAACTTATCTCCGCTGATTTTTTGAGCTTGTTATTGCCTATACATACAGACATATGCTGCTATCCAATTAGCATAATGTATGTATGTATGTTTATTCGTCTTGTAAAAGCAATGAACAAAGTTAGAGTATTCAGGATATTTAAAGAGTTATTTAGTGATAATTGTAGCCCTGTCATACAAGGAGACTCTGGTCTATTTTACTCTGCTGTGATGTTGCATTCTCTCGTTACAGTCTGACAGTGTGATCATTCTAGCTCACCGTACTCATTTTTGATGTGTGAGAAAAATTGAAAAAAACTTAGGTATAATTGTTTTAACACTACATATGTTTAAACAGTTTTTATAATCTATAGATATTTATAGTACTGATTTTGCAACAAAGACTAGGCCTGCATGAGCACCATGGCAATGGATGCATCAAAAACTTCAGAAGCAATGGATATTCTACTTGAAATATCAAAAATATTGGATACAAAGCTGGATGCTGAAACATTGAGCATTTGCGTAGAACTATGTGAACTTGGTATCAACCCTGAAGCACTTGCATCTGTCATCAAAGAAATAAAGTCACAAGCTGCAAATCTTAAGGATCAAGAAAGTTGATGGATTTGATACACAGGCAACCTTGGACAAAACAATAATTATTTCAGTTGATTTCATTTTTCTATATCCATTTTCATTGCATTTAATTTTAAACTTTCGGTTGGTGATTACAGCAATTTGTAAATGCTCTTCTGGAATAGAAATTGTCTTAAAATGCTATAAAATGCCTTTTTTCATAGTAGTTGAATATATATGTTGAAAACTTTAGGAGAATATGTTTTTCTGTTCGTACGTACATTATCACATGATTTCTGTGATTTATTCGAAGTTGTCTGAGATATTTTTCTTGCTATATTTTTTTTTATTATCCTTCATTTTTTCTAGATTCTGATTAAAAAATGGCAATTGTCTGTAAGAATTGTTTTTGCCGAAAAGTTTTAACATGTCAAACAGGAAAAAAATCCAATTTCTGGAGATTTTCTGAAGTTTTAAGAAGATGTTCTTCCACACTTCCATTTTCATCAGATCGGGATCCTGCCCAATCTGAAGGTTTACCAATTCATAAATATATTGACAAAACACACAAGCGTGTAAATATGTTATTTGCATGTGGCTTGACAGCAACAGGTATTCTATATTTTTTGGCCTTTTAATTTACAACAAATTCTTTTTTATGTTAATACATAAGGTACTTGCTATCTTAATATATGATATAAGGACATTTTTTTTGTTTACGATTCAATTTATAAAACAGGTATTCTAGAGATGTTTGTAAACAAACATTTTTATAAGCTATAATTTGTGTGAATAGGCACATCCCTGTGCTCCTAAAAGAGGATCTTTGAATCTATAAAAACACAAGTACAAAGGTGTATATGTAGCTCGAAACTTTATCCACAATTCGTAAATTTATTCATTATAAATGTTTGCTAATTTTCGCATCTATTTTCATCATAACGGGACATATGGAGCTACAGTATCCTTCTTATTTAAGGCACATGTATGGCATACATCCACTTATAAGCCACAACTCAACTTAAATGAAGGGATTTGTTTCCCAGATAACAATTCATTCAATGTTGATTTTCAGGTGCACTTGGATTAAGAGAAAAATCATCTAGAACTCAAAGTAGACGATATCCTATCAGACTTACAAATATTGGCAAATTAAAAATAACAAGTGTTGGTTGTGGATATGGTTATACAGTGTTTGCAAGCAATAATAGAGTAAGGATTTCATTCTCGATTGAATAATATTACCAAATATGAGGTGACATCAATATATATCTAAAGTAACACAAATGTGTTGAAAATTGATTGATAGTTATTTGACTAAGGAGTAATCAAGATTGAAACAAACAACATAACTTGGGAAATATATGTTGTTATAATCATGAATTGACATCGTTCAACCTGCTGCTCTAACATGATTTAGCCAATAAACTGATAGTCATGCTCACAAATAACTATTCCTTGAGTTTTCTTACGAATCACTGGTGCAAAGGCTAGGAATCTTGTTTTTAGAAAACTGCACAAAAAATGCATGCATAACATCTGACATAAAAAGATTGATTTTTCTGAATAGTAAGGTGAACAAATTCATATGGCTTTTACTATAGGATTTGATCAAGGTTTGGGGAAGTGGAATAAACACTCAATCACAACTTGGTTTTCACAGTAGTCAAAAAGGAGTCACGAAAGGGCGTCCTGCAGAATCTGGCCATTTCGATTATGTTATGGAAACAACAGCAATACCTATTCCATTTGATTCCTTCTCAAAAACGAAAGTTACCCAGGTAAACAACGACACCTTTTTCGTGAACACTGGTATCTTGTTTTTGTTGCTATATAATTCCATTATTTGTATTCTGATTCATTTCATATCTAGGTGTCCTGTGGTCGGGCTCACACTCTTTTATTAACTGATAATGAAGGTATATTTTCATTTGGATGTAATTCGTTTGGACAGTGTGGTAGAGAAATCATTCAAGGAGAAATATATGAAGGTAACATTTTTATATTTCTAAACATTATTTTTTACATATTGATCTTTGCAGTTGGAAGAGTATTTACTAAGAAAATTTTTGTTTGCAATGCATTTCTTCACTTTTTGTAAAAAAAATTTCACCATAAACCGTTGCCAGTTGCCACTGCCCTTACATCCATTAGACCGTTAGACAGTTAAGAGGTTGACTACAATTTACAAAGCCTCATATATTTGACACATGACAAACATATTGATAATGTAGTGTTGAAATGTGGCAACAAGGCAGTAATTAAAACATGGCATTATCTATTGGGACCTAATAATGTCTGAGTTTGAATTACCGTAATACTACCGTTGTCAAAATTTATTAATGTCATTATTATTCTCTGGAAAGTTACGAAGTTAGTCAAATCAGTATTCTAATAAGTACACGGATAGTTTGCGGAGCCCTCAGTTTTCTCTTGTGGTGACCAGGGGCTCTGTATGGCGCACTTTGAGAACCAATGAAATTAGACCACGAGTATGTGTGTTACTACTCACTACAGAAATTGAGATGGAATGGATGTAAGATTGTCATTGAGCAAATTCTTTGAGTTGCTTTTTCCAGGTAGCAGGAAGATCCATTGCATACCACATATTCACTTCTCATCACCAGTGACTCAAATTTCATGTGGAATGGACCACAGTTTATTTCTCACCAAATCAGGAGAAGTTTACGGATGTGGATGGGGTGCAGATGGACAAACTGGTCTTGGCTCATACGAGAAAACTGGAATACCAAAGTTGTTGAAAGGTGATTTGGAAGGTGTTAAAGTAAAACAGGTATGTTTTGAAGTTTTTAAAAATTCCAAATATGGTGTTGCCTAATATTATATTAGTCAACCATCACATAATAAACAATGCATGCCATAGCCGCATGTTGCTGCAACCCGGTGGGAAAGTTTTTTTGCTGATCTTCAACCTAATAAATCTGCAACTTTTTCTGAGTGAGCCAGAGTGTTGCTCGGATAAAATCATTCTTAATTCATATGAAATTTTCATTCCACATTCCGGTGGAAGAGCCTACAGTATTATACAACTTGAATTTATGGGTGAGTACCGATTTGAGGTACGTGTTCCTTGAAGATAGAAAGTTTCAACAAAAATTCTGTTGTTGGTAATTTTCCCATTTTAAGACAAATGGCAGTGTGTTTGGCGGCAATAGGGATCACCATATGATTATGCTGTCTTATCGGCTTTCCTCCAAGATGAATATGTATATCTCATCGTATCCTTGATAGATGCTTTCCTAACTTATATTAAACTATACAGGGCTGATAGGAATTAATTTATTAATGTATATTTATAGATTTCTACTTTTGCTGACATGAGTATGGCAGTTTGCGAAGATGGTCATTTATATGGATGGGGTAATTCTGAATATTATCAACTTGCATCCGTTACAGATGACACACAAGTTTGCACTCCAATCAGACTCCCATTCAAAAATATCGGTAAAATTGTTTCTGCAGCGGCTGGCGGTAGCATTTGCTGTGCACTAAATGAAGAGGGAGAGGTATTTGTTTGGGGATATGGAATTTTAGGGAAAGGTCCCGATTTGAAAGACTCGCGACACCCAGAAAAAATTCCCCAAACATTATTTGGAGAGTCTACTTTCAGTCCAAGTGTAAAAGTTACCAAAATCAAATGTGGAATGAATCATTTTGCTGCTGTTACAAATAATGGAGAACTTTTTACATGGGGAAAAAACAAATCTGGTTGCCTTGGTATTGGTGAATACAGGGACCAATATTTTCCATGGAAAGTCTTGGTGCCTGGAGAAGTTGTTGATGTTTTCTGTGGTGTTGATCATACCGTTATACTGTCAAAGTCTATGTTGTAATTCCTGAATTAATATTATAATATATGGACGCATATTCTTTAGAGCTCGACCGATATCACTTTTTGGCACCGATACCGATAACGATATATCGGCCAACTAGTGACCGATAACCGATATTGACATACCGATATCTACAACTCGAACCCGCAGTAAATACAAATAGAAAGAAACATTCAGTTTCAGTCAATCAAAAGTTTATGTCGAAAAATAAAGCAGTCCTACACAGTGCTTGCATCATTAATAAAAGTTTCGCAGCAAATAATAAGAACACACATTAATGCACAAGAGAAAAAAGGCAGTCAGTAAAAAGCTCATAGAAGTCCATTTTGATCCATACAGTAGTAGGTGGGAGTAGGCTTGCACGTAATTTACGGAATTGTTTGGAGTTACGGAAGGGAAGTTACAATTACGTAAAGTCGTAATTATTGGTCGAGCGCTTTCGCGTTTGAAACGTGCTCCTTCCAAGCAGCCAATTCCGTCGATTGTAAAAAATCAAAGTTTAACAAGTAGAAGAAGTTAGAGTTCCGGTATTCGCAGCCGTTTTGAGTCCGCATGACGCGTTGCCACCCCGTTTGAGCGTTTGGTTTCACGGTCAAAACGATATTATTATAAGCGTTATCACCGTAACGCAATTAGCACCGACAGACTTTTTTGTCTTCACGATTTGGTATCTTTTTTATTCGGCACTGATAATGATAAATAAGAATGTGTGATAGTTGATTGTAATTCCGGAAGGCGTATTTTTCTTTCTCTCCGTGAAACAGACATGAAACGAATTTTACCGCCGCTATAAGCGCTTAAAAGGAGAGGAGGCTAGGCTACTTTCTTTTCCCGACTCAATCACTTTTATAAATACAAATCACAGCGCATTAAAAAACAAAATAGAATTTATTAGCATTAATAAACAACAAGTTACGGGTAAGAATTTATCGCCGGCTAAATAATTATTATTTGATTTAAATTTATCGCAAATGATGTTATAACATTTAGGCCGCGAAATGATTTGATATAAAATGGAGCTTGGTAATCGGAATATCGTCAATAATTCAGCATCAATAATTATTATAAAATGCTAACTAGGTAGCAAAGTCGGATAATGTAAAAAAAACGGAGCAATAACAAGTCTTCGTCGCGAGGCAAGCGCAGGTATAATCAAATGAGAAAATACGCTTGTCGTTGATTAATAACTTAGAAACCCGAAATTTTTATTCAATACGAAAGTCGATTTAAAAAAAGGTAACTATCGTTTCATAAATATCCGTATACCATTATCGGTAATGATAAAATTGATCGCATAAAATTGGGACGGTTAATTTGCGAACGTGATAAAGGAAAATCAAAGCCAACACAATTAAACAAGATAAAGATCAGAATAAATTTAATTTGAATTCACTCCTTGGTATTTGTCTTTAACATCTGTCGCCGGCGTGTAGTACTGTCGGTAATATGAAAACCAAACTTCGATGTCCCATTCGGAAAAGAAGTGGATTCGAATGGTTTTTATGATAGGTTTAAACGTGTGAAAAAATATCGCAATTACGGGGTCATTACGTAATCAATTTTTCCGTAATTACGGAATTGATTTTTGTCGATTACGTGCAAGCCTAGTGGGGACGCAAGATATTCGAAGGCGAGGATTTTGCGCCGCACGAAGAGAGAAATATAGAAGAGAACTCTCTGTTCATTGAAAGGCAAAATGAGAGAAGCGTAAAAAAGGAAAACGCTCGGCCGCAGATATTTCCCGGGGAAAAATACTCATTTTTTAGAACGTGGAGAAGCGACTAACGCTGATATATATCGGCCAGATATATCGGCCGGTTGGGCCGATATGATATATCGGCAAACACGCAATATCGGCCCGATATATCGATTGGCCGATATATCGGTCGAGCTCTAATATTCTTTGGTGTGGCAGGAAAGTTTTAGGTCGCTGGTAGATATATTTGTTATGAGAAAAATGATTTCAACAGCATTTGCATTAAAATATGATATAAAACTCTTAGTTTATTCGCTTTGAAGATCTTGGTTGTGCCTGCCTAAATGCTGGCGTCCAGTCCTGCGCCGTCTATATTTGATCAGTGGCAGAAGCATCAGAAGATTGCCATGAAAGTGTCCATGAATAAGATATTGTAATAATCTGTTATAATTAGGGCTGGGAATTTCAGGGAAAACACTTTTACCGGGTAAAATTAACCGGTTAACCGCAACGTAACCTTTGACGTAATAATTTTAGCTAGTTACGTCACAACGGTTACAGAGCAATTTCGGGTGATCTTATCCCGCTATCGCTCAAAATTATTCACGAATCGTGATCGCTCTGCTACAAGAGATATGCAGCGTGATTCGGACATCTGAAAGTATTTTAATAAAACCCGAATCCATTATTAAATGTCATTTATGTGACAAATTTTCAGTGTTGGACGTGCAAATTATACTCTGAGATATCATAAAGAAAAACGGCATCTACTGCGAACTTGTTGGATGACATTGAATATACGATTTTGCAATAAAATCGGGAACAAAATATTTTCACCGAAAACTGAATTTATCATTGTCAAATTTTTATAATCAGCAATCTTGGTACTTATTGTTCACATTTATTGGGTCCTTACCAATACAGATAGTGTTATTCTTTAGAATTAAATGCCACAGGAGATAAATTTGCGATGACGTAATCATTTTTGAAAAAGTTGTACATTATAAAGATAATTTGTACCTAAGATGTCAGTTAACGGTTAAAATAAATTGTAACCGTTAACCATCTAAAATCGGTTAACCATTCCAGCCCTAGTTAGAATATTCAGTTGAATTCGAAATATGGGAAATAAAACATGAAAACAAAGCGGCAGTGGTATACATTTTTTATTTGACTGCTGAGGCAACCTATGCGGTTCATAGGAATACAATACTGTGCAGAGATCAAATACATAACTGAAATAGGGGCTAGAAGTCTTATGAATATGGTATAATAGCGTGCGCCTCTTATCTTATCGGCTTTCTACACGGAGGTTAAGTATGTGAATCCCAGTGTTATGTGCAAGTCTCATTCCCGCTTTTGAACAAATCAAGTAGTTTAATTCAATTATATGTGTGCCTAAATAAGTATTATAGTAATAATAAAGAACACTGGTAATACTGCAGCAAATACATAAAAGATCCATATGCAAATGTGCTGTGACTACGCTTGTTTGGTCAACTGAATTTATTCATATTTACTGGAAACGAATCAGATTATTTTCGGCTTTGAATTTTATTTCGTCTGTCCCAAATGTCTCAATGTACGGGCTATGAATAAGAAAACAATCGCAAGGAGTTATAATACACAGTTCGTATAAATTGAAAACAGAACGTGATGGTGAATATTCACTGACGTGACCGGCCGACATTCGTGCTATTAATTCTGAAAGTAAAAAAGTAGGTGCATATATCGATAGAGCAACGGCTTTCGAAAGTTAAAGCATAGTAGCCGCACTGAATGTCATCAAACATGAATGCGTAAATAGAGAACGAATTTATACCACACTCTTGAAACCTCTTCACTAATCCACCAAAATCCCAGCTGTGAACCTCCACAACAAACACACAATTTGAAAAACAAATGATTCAATTTGAAGCCGCGGTACAAAAGCCATTTAAAAATTGAGCCAAAATATAAAAAAAGGATTTACAGAAACTGGAATATAATTATGTATAGCTTAGGGGGAAACATGAACATGACTTGTACATGTATAATATTATCCTTGATGTCCGTAATGTCTAATGCATTAGTTCAGACAAAACCCGAAAAAAAAGTTACTTGCTCTATACGGAATAATTGTTTTCGCAGACTGGAAAGTGCCCAAGGTGTGGTATTTTTTCGCATCTTAGTCATAGTTTTCAAAACATTGCTATTTTGGCCGGAGGGTTTTTTTGCATTGAGGAAATTATACACTAATCAATCCGAGATTACAGGACTAAAAATGCAATGGGAAGCTATAGCGAGCTTATAATGGTTACCAACAGAAACGAGTTGAGGTCATTTTAAACAGGCAAAGGAACAAATATGCGTAGTCGTGGATCCTCGCGTGTGTCGCACAAATTTAACTGGCATCTTAAAGTAACTCAATTCACCTGCCGCCGTTTTAAACTGAAAAGCTTGAACGTCGCATAATGATTTCTTTTTTGAGAATTCGTTTTCGAATTCCCAGAAACCTTTTTTATTGTTTTTGATCGATTGCTTTGGCAATAAACCACTTCTGCAGTGCAATCTCACGATTCGGGAAGCAATACAACTTAAAAAAGTCAAATTTTATTAAAACAAGGCTAATAATTACCGAATTTGTGTATTAAAATCACTTACTGCTTTTGGAAATTTCGGCTGTTGGTAACGCAATCGTATCTTGTACAAATAATCTGTTTACAAGTCATTGAATTCTTTTACAGGGAAAGGATATGCACTGAGAATATTTTGTCCACTGAAACCTCGATTTGGCGACTCGGCTTGTCTTTGTAGTCGCCCCTGATCATTTTGATCGAACTTTACTTTTGATAGCTACTTGTTATGCTCATGGATCTGACTAGAGCGATTATTAAAGTAGTGTTTCTACTTCACCTGTTATTTAGAGGACGATCAGGTATTTAGTTTTATTTACTAGTGGGTTTGAGAGTGAGTTATTGAATTGCTTTTCATTGGAAGTCTTTCATGAATTTTTGTGCCTTCGTATTTGTATGATCAGACATATTTTAATGGTCACCCCTTTGGGACATTCAGATATAGATTTCCCGGGTAATTTTGAAGTTGGGACCAAATTAGAAATTTGCTAAAAAGACCATAAATAATATTTACGTTGAATTGTATTCTAGAATTGTTATAATATACTATAATTACGTCTACCACGGTGGAAACGTGAATATGATAAAAAGTTTAGATGCATTGCTCCATGATTAAAACATTCATTTGATTCTTGTCAGCAAGGTTGCAAAGCAATTTTCTCATCGAAAGAGTTTTGCTAATTTATTTATTTATATGACTGTAGAATTACTCGCAGTTTGTCCCCTATTTTTTTTTTAATACAATCTGCTTGATTTTTATACATTTTATTTATGAGCCAATTATTCTTAATTAGAAATTGATACAATACTACCAGAAAATTAGGTTTTTATTTGTTCTTGTCTGTCTTCAAGGTTCATCTTTACATTATGATTGATGAATTGAGATGTGTTTTCAATTTGCCACAGAGACTATGAAGGTATATCCTAATTAACTTTACAATACATTGCCCAAAATATTGCCTTAATGTACCCATTAACTCCAGGGCTTAGTCTAAAAATTTCCAATGGGGCATATTGTAACATATTGTAAAAGCTTAAATGACATGTATGCCTGTATAGACATGCAACTTCTAGTTTGTTTATGATAATGTTTACGCTATAAACCTTTTTCTATGCTATTAATAAAATTTTATTCAAATCAGCAATTACCTAAATGTGTTTATATTCAGGAACTGCTTTCAACAACTGTCACTGGGAAAGTTGTCGATATTGGAAAGCTAGTGATATTGGATATGAAAGAGAGAATTTCAATTCTCAGTAAGTATATATAATGATCGAAGTGGAAATAAGTATAGGTTTAATCCAACCAGTTTGGAGTCAAATTTTAATACTTCACAATGATATTTTTCATTCAATGTTATTAAATTTAGTGATATTTCATGCGATCTTGCACTTCATCATTTGTTTTGGTTGTCTTCAATAATTCTAATTCTTGTCAGCATATGTATTAATATCGTTTATGTGGTTTTATTTATTGTTGTTTTCATTTCCTAAAGTGTTGCAGGTACATAAACATGTTGTATTTAGTGCTCATTTGATCAGCCTCCTTATTTTCTATATAAATTATTAGATTTTCGTTTTTGATTTAGTCAAATGCACAATTACTGCAGAAGAGTTAACAATAAACGATTACCATGGTGTTATGTTGATGAGAACAAATTGGGAATTTTGTTTCCATTTTCATGTAACCGTAAGTAAAATTGAATACGTAAATTGTCAAAGAGTATTATTTTTCATTTCTTTTGTATATCATGCACTATTTTAAGTTTGTTGTATCAGATGTCATTTACTCCAAAGTGAATTTAAATATGACTTTACTCAGTGAAATCCTATGAAACTTTGAATATTTAAAATATCAGTATATATTTATCAGAATATATTTAAAATTGTCAGTTTTTAAAAACAATAAATCATATTATCATATTTTTGACCCGTTAAGGGAGTTAAATTTCTATTTCAAAATTGACTTTTGGATTGAATCAATACAACATGATTCAATAGGATGTCATTGATCATTTTCTTTGGGAACTTTTTGTTGTGTTTGCATCTTGAGATCAATGTTAATTTTGAAATTTTTTTGCAATATTTTTAATAGTATCTATTCAGATTACTTCAAATACAATAGAGGGTTACTGAATGACCTTTGTGAGAAAGACGGATATTATGAATTCCAAGGTAAACTTAACCATGTCATTCATTCTGCATATCATGCGTATATTGAGGTGGTACACACTATCTCCAGTCTTGAGTAGTAGCCCCTATAACTTGTGCCACAAGTCGAGTCAAGTTCGACTTGAGTTCGAGTCATTTTATTCGAATTGAGTCACATAGAGTCTATGAATGGGGACTGGAGTAACTCCGAAACTGCTATCTGCAAGAAAAAGTTTTCAGGCAATTATTAATTTATTTCAGATAACTTTCTATGCTTAATACAGTATCTTTTGCAGAAAGTTTCATTTTTAATAAAACCAGATCTAAATTGTTTGCACTTTGCGATAATCTATGCTGCTTCAATGGAATACACTAACTCAATATTCACCGCATTATTGCAGTTATTTACAGGTTTTTCATTCTATGTGATCTTCTTGGTTTTACTGTTCAAATCCAATATTAATGAAAATAGTTTGGGAAGTATTTGTCAAATATTCCTTTAAAATTTTATTTACATTGTCCACCTAATTTATTTAAAAATCTTTTAAAAAGATCCACGTTTATATAACATAAGAAAGTTTTGAGTTGAATTCAACATTTTCATCATGATTTTGCTAAGACTGGTTTCAATTATTGTTGTAAAATAGTTCAAAAACGATCAATTTCAAATAATGTCGGCAACCTGACTTTAGTTTATTCATATATAATATCTTTACTGTTAATTTTCTATTTTTTTTCTTGATAGGAAAGTGCTACACAGTTTTGTATAACCCTGTCAATACAAGAGGAGAAGCGAAGAAGGCATGTGGAAAACATTCTGGAGAACTGTTGAGTCTTTATTCGGAGGAAGAAGCTACATTTGTTGCTTCGTTGACATGTTTACCCAAATTGGTGTCTGCTAAATATGTAAATAATATATTGAAATACCGTATTTACCAAATTAATAATATAAACAAACAAAATATCATCAACAATATAACCTTTTCTTAGTAAGATTTAGTTGTCAGCTTTGTTTAAATTATTGCAGTGGTTCTTAAATTTTTTGTACCTCTTTGGAATCACTAAACTTTTCTCACACCCCTATTTTAGAATTTCTGAGAATAATAGGTATTCTTCTCATATGTAAATAGCAAAACCATTGCATTATTTTAATATTTTGTGAATCCCACACGTTTCTATCATGCTATGTCTTCAATGGCTTCTGTATTTTTTTTAACCAAAATTAATAATTCAGCATTCTTGCACCCCCTCGGAACAGATATTGCACCCAATAGTGGTATCTGCAACCCAGATTAAGAACCCCTGAATCAATGTGAAAAAATGATTGTAATAGGAATACCATTAAATTGAATAAATCCATATTTATTATTGGATAAATCCAATCCGCTCTGCATGATTTAAAAAATTAGAGATTCTAGGCAAAGAGTCTAAATTGGCGAATCTTTAAATTCACCTTCCCTTCGGAAAATTGTGTATTCCTACAAAACATTTTGATCTTACCAAACTATACTAATTTTTACAATAGAGAAATGGTATCCGAAGTTGGTCATCAAAAAATGCAACATGGGGAATGAAAGATGTGAATGATTATGCATGGTGTCAAGGTTATGATTACGTAGGTCGTAATGGAAATTGTACATCTTTGGAGGGGTTGAATTGTGAGTGAAATCTTCTTTGAGCCTTTTTTTACACTCATGTGAAGTATTTTTATATTCCTTCCAGAAACATAATAGGTTTTATATCTTATTACAAAATTTTCAAATTGTAAAGGGATTTATCGATACCATATATGGTTTGTTGGCCTCTACAGGTGTAGTAGAGAAAATGAAAAAAATTGAATAAACACCGATTTAAATATCAACACCCTGTATTATGTTCTAGCTGCTTAACTTCGAATAAAAGTGAAATCTTTTAGAAAATGTCTATGTGTTTAGATAGTCATTTAGTGCCAGTATATGTATTTTTATGTATACTTCACTTATGCCAATAAAAGTACCTTTGGAGTTATAAAAAAAAACGTCAGAAAGTGTTGAATTCAAAGATGATACTAATTTAATAGGTTTGGCCAAAGTACCCTGTGTTAATCTTCGAAAGAAATATCATCCAGCATGTGAATATACTCCAAAACACACTGAAGTTTTAGGTGAGAATATTTTTGTCAGTTTTTTTTTTTATAAAAGTTAAGATTATTTTTGCCCTATTCATTAGCTTTTTTTAAACAATGATTAGTATAACATTGGAGTACCAGTGCTTATTGTTGAAATGTTTCCATGTTTCAGTAATATCAGCTGGCTGACCTGGTCTTGATTTACTAACCAAATGAAAACATATGATTTTAACATTCTCCTGAATACTAGAATAGTTATTTCATTATAATCTACTTGAAAATTTGGTTTTGAAATTATCAAATTTAAATCATGAACAAGTATCAATTGCATAAAAACTGACCTGATGTAAACCGTTTCTTTATTTTATTTAACATGTAGAAAGTAAATATAGAAATTTTCTTCTCTTTGGAACATCAATTCACATTTGATTATTGTATAATATTTCTGCCATGGTTTAGCAAACATGTTTATAAAGTAATTGAGTGTTGTTACTGGTTAGTGTATTTTATTAAATATGTTCAATAATTTTGGCTCAATTTTATTTTCCGCATCACAGCCAGTGTTTTACAAATCAGTTAGACCACGCCGAACCTAAAATATTATGGCCATATTCTTTACGAGCCTCTCCAAATATCTTGCTATTTACATAGAATCTGGTATGGTTCAAGTGTATGTAACACTACATTGATTTAAGCAAAACTTTTGAGTTCTAAATTTTATAATACTCTTAGCTAATATTAGCTGTTTTTTATAATGTCTGAGGTTGTATGATTTACTTTGATTTATTATCACATGTACCATCAGTTGCTTGCCCATGATCTAATCTAAAGTAATTACTTATCGATTTTAATCGGTAAGTATGTTGATAGGTATTTGCTTGTCTGTTTGTTTGTCTGTTCGTCTATCTGTCTGTTAGATGCACGCGATATCTCACGAAAGCGAGATTGAATCTGCTCCAGATTTTGCATGTGCATTCATTATATGTCGTACCAGAAGCCTATTGATTTTGGATGAAATATGTCGTATAATTAGCGAGTTATAATTAATTAGTGATGGGATACAAGGTGTCACTATGGAGTAAGAGCGCTGTTTTGAGGGATCCACTAACTTTCGATCGATAAGTCTTCGGTCTCTGACCGATATTTTCATTTAATGGTTGTGGCTTTTGACAAACAAATAATTTGAAGTATTTGTTTCATTTCCATCAAACTCAGCTATTTTCTAGATTCACTCCCATCTATAACATGGGGGAAGGCTGAAAAACAGTGTGAATTAGATGGACAACAATTGTGCAGTTTTGAAGATTTATGCAATCTTCCAACTATTGACAAACTAAATATGAGCACTTATAAATCATATATGTTGCCTTTGTCTGGATCTCATTGGATTCCAATTGCTGATGAATACAATGAATGGTTATTTGTTGGTAAGATTATACATTTCATGTGATAAATATTTTACACAATTATTACAGTTCAAATCTCTGTTTCCCATCGATTTTAATCTTACTATTTTGAATATGATTGTTGCACCCCAAAGTTATATAATTTCATTTGAACTCCGCCACGATACAAAAAATGACAATGTTTAGTATAATTCATATTTTCTTTTTCACTTAAGTCTTTTCACCAGAAAATGAAGTGGCGTCCAAATTTATTTATTTTTGTTTGTTATTTATTTATGACCTTTTTCCATATGTGATATTTGTTCAAGTGTAATTTTTACAGGCAACAATGATCGGAGGTTTGTTTGTGCAAAGCATAATATGTACTATGGGCCACCGATCTGGGGAATAAACACTGCAATATGTTCAAATACCAACATTACGAAATATTCGCAATATTGCTCATCAATTGGAAAATTCATGTGTTGTGATAAGAACAAATCGGAACTGAAAACTATGGTTGAGCCAGTAAGACTTTTTTCTTGAATGCTAGGTCATCATCACACTGATGAAACCATGTAAAAGGTTTGCAGGTTTCATTTGAGTGAGCTTATGGTAATTGAATGGGGCTATGGCATCATGTATGCATATTGCTATCTTGCTTTTTTATATAGATATAGGTTATGTTGATTTATCTCCAACATACCAAGGCTATATGAGTATGAAATTAAAATTTTTTATTTATTTAGGTAAATGTATTTGTGCAAAGCAGAACAGAAAGTGGCGTCAATTACTATCATTTTTCGCTGGAAGAAAACAGGACAATTGCTGATGTTGAAAATGATCAGGCTGAATGGAGAAAATATGGTAGAATTCCTGGAGATTTGAGGTCATTTAAACTACTGCCAGCTTATTCAAAAGGTAGGGGATGAATTGTGGCTATGTAATTTTGGAGGGCTCATATCTTATGGGAAGAGATTTTGGCATTAGGCATTTCATGCAATATGTAAATATATGTTGTTTATTCAGTAATTAGCTATATCCAACTATGTTTAAGATTAGGATATTTTCAAATATCATGATGATATTCGTAATAGTTTATAAAATATTTTTTTCATATATTTTGTTGCATTATATTTTTACACAAACTATTGATGAAAGCTTTATTGCTTTACCAAAAACATGCTGTGTTAGTATAACAAGAAGTTTATTTTATATATTTAAAATACCTATTTTTTTTATATTTATTCCATTGCTAGATGATAAGGCCATCAAAACAATAAAAATATCTGGTAAACTCACTTGCTGTCTAGAATAAAGTATGCAAAATAGTTCATTGTCAATCCACAGAAGAATGTTTCGATAACACTTAGATACTGATGATACCAGTGAAAATGTGCAGATATAGATATTTCAATACTGATATTCCAATAATACGTAATTAACACCAATGTATACAATGTTCCTGGGTGTACAGGTCAGATGGGATAAAATATTTGTAATTTACAGTGAACAATGCTTCAACCGTGAAAGCTGATATCCAAGAACGCACAATTTGAAAATCTGTATGTGTGATTCGAATAAACGTATGATTGGTTGGACATACTACCAAGAGTTTATTAGAATACTTGAATTAATTGCATTTCAACTTTGTACCAGTATATATGAAAAAATGTTAAGCAAATTATAGCAAGCGGTTTTGTTATAACAAATTATAGCACCGCGCTAGGAATTGCGGTGCTTGATTGCAAATATCATAGCAGGCAAGCTACTATACATGGTATATTCTATAAACATTCATTTACTCATTCACCATACTAACTGTGAAGATTTTAATGAGTTTATTTTTAGCTGATAATGATACAATTACCGGTATCGACAGAATGGCCGATACTGATACCTGGATACATCGGTACATCCCTAATCCATGGTACATTATTTTTTATAGGTTTTGCTGAAGATCCAGTATATTTCTGTGTGAAGAATATGAAAATAAAAAATAAAATCCCGTCCACGCATCACCTAATATCTTTGACGCCATGTGATCACCCATGGAAACTGAATTTTTACTTTTACGCAATAAAACATATACCATCGAATTCAATCAATAAATTCAACAAGTTCTTGGTCACAACACAAATGAATGGTGACTCAGAGCATAGCAGAGTTTCATTTCAAATAAATGATACAACTCTAGAATCAGATCTTGATTCCTTCATTGTTTTTACACCAAAAGCGTTGGATGCATTTTCTTTTGCACAGCCTCCAATCAATCCATGCACTACTTTGGAAAGAATAAGAGATCCAGTGGGCGTTATCAGCTCTCCCAATTTTCCTGACAATTACCCAAAGACTGACCCACCTATCGAGTGCCACTGGAGAATAGTTGCAGATTTTAAATGTTTGATAAAAATCAAATTCAAAAAATTGAAGTTGAACGAAAAGAAATCTCATATATATTATACAAATGTTAATGTAAGTACCAGTAAATAAATTTTGTGAAAGTAAGATAAGATGAAAATTTTAATTATTAATTCAAATAAAATTAATATGAAGTTTTTTGTTTTTTAAAATATTAAGAAACATCTCTGCAGATCTTATATAATGTTTTATATTACTCTGCTTTCTGTTAATCCCTTTATTTAGTAACTTCACTTATATTGTGCATCATTACATTTCCACGAGGTACACTTGTGTCTCTGAATTCTGAATAGTTTTTACATAGTAGCTGTTGGTCACTATATGATTAGAAGTTTTTTTTGAATGAAATTCCAATACATAACATAACAGTTTCAGTCATTTTCTCAATGAAAAAAATTTTGGAATGTATTCTTTCAAGAAATATGAACGATTTCGCTTGACTAATGTTGGTAGCATTTATAATCACAATCAAGAGTGTCCAAAAGATAGAGTTGAGATCAGAGAACCGAATGGCCGACGTAACAATCCAACATGGGTAGATTATGGACAATTTTGTGGAGAATTTACACCACGTCCTTTTATAACAACAAACAACACAGTCTCTATAAGATTTCATGGATCAAGGTTAGCAATAGATAGTAGCAATGCGGTATGACATAAGGAACATTGTAATGAATTTATTTATTTGGTCTATTACAAAATAACATACAGAATGATTTCTTAGCAATCGGTATCATATCTGAATTTGGCACTCCAGAAGTGTGTGTACCAACATGGAGGTAACTAATTTTGTTTGCCTACTTCACATCAGGTTGTATAAAGGGACTGATTACTATGGGCAGTGGGTATATTCACTTGGTTAACACAGACGGCCCACGAACTCGTAATTGAACTAAAATAAGGTAAATTGGGATCAAATTTTGGCCTAACCTGGTACACACACTAGGGGAGTACCCTGAATTCCGCTGTGTAATTGCAACATTTAGAAATTTCAGTTAACAATGTATTTAAAACGTCAAAGTTTGAGTGCAATCTGAAACTAAACAGATAGTGTTATATTATTATTACCAGCTTTCTTTTCCCTTCTATTTTGTGGCAATTCTTTTTTGATTTTGTTGATCATCTTGTTATATCTACACAATATTGAATATTTGCCAAAATGGAGTCTCCTTGTGAACAACTGTTGAATTAAGCACTAAAAACAGTATGTCTACTATAATTATTCATATTTCACATACAAAATTCTCTTTTAGCAAGGGAAGGACAAATGGATTCTCATTAACTTTTGAAACAGTTGCTCCACCTCAAGGTTTAATAATAAAAAACATTGATAAAAAAGAACGAGCAAAATTAACATGGAAATATGCAAAGAATATCTGCAGAAATGAGGCTAAATATCTGTGTACTTTGAAAGATATTTGTGGGTAAGAATTTTATGCTTTATTTATTGTACATCACGACATCATAATTATTTGAAGTTTTATGAATGACTGAATTTTCTAGTTGTTCATTCATATCGATTGTGGAGATGTAAAAGCGCAATTTGTGAAACATTCTTGCTTGGGTAACAGTAAAGGATTTAGCGAATATTTCTATTCTTTATCACGGTTTGAAGTTTCAACTCCCCCCAAAAAAATGCCTTTTTTCTATCCGGTTTGTGACTCAGACCACCACTTTTAAAAAAACTTTTTTTTTAATTGCCAATTGCAAGCTCTTTAAATAAGCTTTCCAACGAGCCGTCTTTGGGCAGAAGAGGATCATTATTTTTTCGTTAGTCGATCGATTAGTTGTGGTGGTACAAATGCATAAAATTGGCGTAGCAACTATGATTATTTAATAAAAAATAAAAATCGCATGGAAAGGGTTAAGTTTATGTTTTTGTAATATATTATAATACAATTACCCTAGACTTGGAAGACCATTTTATGGGGTGGAAAAGGGGGATCAATGGACTCCTGTAATAGAAGAATACAATGAATGGGTCCAGGTATTATAATGTTTGTGTTCTATCTTATTTCTAGGTATTTAACTTTTGAACGTAAAGTTTTTACGGGACGTTGATGTTCAATTTTTCTAGTTCAGTCGTGGCAGCTAGAGTAACATTGCTGAATTATAGATTGATTGAGAATGTAATGAGAAATCGAAGTGCTTCGAAGTCCATATTATGGAGTAAATAGTATTACAACATTACGATATGACATTCCTAGTTAACGGTAAACCGTGATTCATTTGAATGAATTTATCCCATTGGTGTCTTCTGTTTATTAATTACATTTTCGAGAATTTTGATATTTGATCAAGAACCAGAGCCATTTTTTTACAGATTGGTCAAGAAAAGGGCCAAACATGTCAAAGGCACAATATTTTGAATGGTCCACCAGAGTGGGGAACATTAGAAGGTAATTGTGGCAATAATGCTTGCTCGTTCAAAAAGGTTGTGTATTGCTGCAATCAAAGGATTCCTGGACCATCGGAGGTAATTAATTGCTCTTTGTTGTTGAATCTAGAAATAACACTTATTATTGTGTTTTTTATGAAAATATGTTTCATCTGGAGAAAATGGATGTTTGAAATTAGGAATACATTTATACAAATCTTTAATTTTATGTAGGACAGAATTAGGGCTATTCCAAGCAACTGTTGAATTTCATCAAATTTTTAAAAGTGTAGTTAAAGTAATTTTTTTGTATTTTTTTTATCAAACGACTCTTGAATTTTATTGGGATGAATTCATTTCACCAAAAAAGTTACACAATTTACACAAAGTGGCCTGAAATGTAGAAATTTTGATCTAATGACATGTTTTTTGATGACTCGTAACACAAGTGTTTGATTGTCTGGTACAGTTATGTCATTTCAAATAGATGCATTGAACGTGAGGTAATAAAGCTTGAGTGTTTGCAGGGCTGTAGAACATGGGTTCACCTATTTAACGATTTATTACCAGAAATTTAAGAGATGATAGAGGCCGCTGTTCCAAAGTGGAAAAATGTCCCGTAGTGTCACATACAATATTCACATTATCGTCATGGATCTAGTGTTACATTAAGTAACTTGAGGAGTTACATTAGTAGTTCAATTCATCATCCTTTCAAATATATTAACACACTAAATTTGTATGAGACTTGATCCTGAGATGCATAATCTGCATTGCCAAAACAGCTGGGTTCATGCAACCATGCCACTCGATCTACAAATATTTTTCTCATCATTTTTTTAAGCAGATTTTAACAGGAGAAATGTTGCCTGTAGCTGAAGAAATCATGATCAATGTTTATACAACAGTGCAAAATGGAAGAACATTTTATAGGTAGATAGTTACAATTGAGAAAAATAATGATTCTTGTAAAATAATTAAAATTAGTGAGAAATCTGTTATTTTTTTTTTGGTATTTGAGTGAATATTGAATACATTTTCTGTTTTTCAGATATATTCGTGATCAAATAGACACTATAAATGAAACATCAATTTGGAGATTCCGAAGGAAGCATGTTGGGGATGTTGCAAGAATCATGTTTTACTCCAATTATAAATATAAGTATGTAGATGCTCGAAACCCATTCCTATTAACAGTTCACAGGCAGTATATATATATGGCAATGATTTCATTCTTTCCAAAGTAGTTTTTAAAATTAAAGTGTGCTTTTTGAACATATGGATTGTAGTCATTGAGAAGCCTTCGTTTTTCAGGTTTGACAAAGTTGTGTATTTTTGCTCCAAAGCATTGATTCTTGCAATCGGACAATTACGTACTGTCTATCGAATGTCTGCACAGCCATGTCATTTGGATGGTTGGGATCTCTCATTTTATCTGTATGCTTCAGACTCGCATCATGTTGGGGTGTGTTAAAACTACTTGGTATGCTATCACACAAGATAATTTTTAGTTCATCTATGAGGACTAGGATCTGTCATTTTCTTTAACATTTCTTATTGATAACAGTATAATATTACATGGAACAGAATAGACAACTACGGTAAATCAGAAGTATAAAATAAATTGATATTACAATTACACCATTCAAATTTTTATCATATCATGTTAAAATGCTAACTAATGTGCTGATCAAATAATCTTTACATATATTGTAAAAAAGATATCGATGTCTTACAAATTTCTTTACTTGTTCTTTAAGGTTTTGGGTTCAAGAAATTTAGTTCAAAAATTTTCAAGATAAACAATATTTTAAAGATGTGCGCTTCAACCTTCAATATTTATTAAACATAGCAGTTTCCATAATTAGGAAGAGCATCTTATGCTAACGTTTATGTGGTAAATTCACTGACTTTTTCTCTTCTTTTTTAGGATGATACTAAGAAAATTTATGTTGGAATATCAACACTTCAACCATATTATTCAAGAGCTCATTTTTCTCATTTTCCACCAATGTTCATGGGAATCAAAAGTTTTATAATTTATGCTAAATCCCCTGACTTCATTCCCGAAGAAATGGTAATTTACTACATGACTTTCTGAGTAGAAAGACTAGTCATGTAGGTTTCTTTGGCTTAAATGATTGTATTCTAGTTTCCTACTCTTTGTATGTTTGGAAAAAAACTACTAATCCAGTCCTGTGGGCAATAATTATGCTTGAAAAGATATTTTGTTCTGGGTAATTTACATAATTTTCTCACCTTTTGATAATGGAATGATATGCTGAATTGGTTAGTGTCATATTCATGATAATTTTTTCAAAATTCAATCCAATAAAAATTACAAAGAAATGTCTTTGTTGAAAACTGCGTGTTGGAGAAAATCTGGCATTGATCAGAAGAATCATCACAAAACTGAATTTATGAAAAATGGTGGAGCAATAACTGTAAACTTTAAAGTTTTCTTATTTTAATTCCTGCTATTCTTTATTTGCATTAAATCTGTATGGAAGCACTAGCTCAATGGGATATACCTAGTAGAAGTAACTGTTACTCCACTTTACCAATTTTCTATCATTTCAATTTGAAAATTTATGTACTGGTATATAATTTTACAGAAATACTTTATTTACATTACTTAGGGAGAAAATGCTGATATTACTGAAGAATTTGTTGATAAATGTTCACCTGACATGATTGATATATTAGCTCCAAGTATTCTTGTATCTCCTGGATATCCAAAACAATATATACCATTAGCAAATTGTAAATGGAGAATCAGGCTTTCTGATAAAGATATAGAACGTGGTAAGTCTTGGTTTGTGATTAGTATTTTTCGTGTCGATATTATGAGCTATGCACAGTGGCGTGTCCAAAGGGGGGCCAAAGGGGCAGCTGCCCTGGGCAGCTTGTTATAGGGGTGAGTTTGTTGCTTAGTTTGATAGTTTAAATAATTATATTACAAATATTTTACGTTTACTTGATCTTTAATTTATTTATTTTCATGTATAATATATCTATAATTTGTTTATCCCCCAAATTATTTGTGAAGTTGAGTATAAAGGGCAGCATTATCAGAAAAGTTTGACACGCCACTTGCTATGCAATATCTTTGTCTTAGTATTCGAATATCATTTATTCTATGCAGCCTTTGATTCAATGTACTAATGTTTGTGCATATTGAATAAAAGAACCAAGTTATTTTGCTAATTTATTTTTCTAAGGTGTCAAACTGAGAATGACAATAGAAGAATTACATTTGGAAAATGATATGGATGAGCTTCGTGTATACGAAGCTCCTTTACATTCTAATTTCGAAGATTTATCATATTCAGATGGTTCATCTTACTCGGGAAACGTGAGGCACGTTACACGTGCTACAAATGAAACATTTATTCTCCATTTTACATCTGATTGGTCAATTGAGAAACAAGGTTTTAAAATATTGATAGAAATTTTGAATGACAAATGTGGTGGCAATATTACAGATCATGGAGCAACTGTAATAAGTGAAAATTATCCCAAAAAATACAAAGGTGGATTAAACTGTGAGTGGATAATAAAAGCTCCAAATTCTGGATATGGAATCGATGTACAATTTGGAAAATTTGAGCTTAAAGACTCAGAAAATTGCAGTGATGATTATGTTACCGTAGGCCCTGATTATGACACTGAAAGGTTTAAATATTGTGGGGTCAAAGATCATCCACCAAGAGAACAATTTAATGAAACTACAGTTATACTGAAGTTCGTTTCTGCAAAAGGAAAACCTAGCGGTCAAAAAGGATTTATGTTTAACATTTTCTTCTGGCCTCTTGGCAATTCTTATCGTACTGATCAACAAAGTGGACTTTGTGGGTCCCAGAAAATCCAGCCATGGAATGGTGGCAAAGAAGCAGCTACTGATCGTATTGTAGGGGGATTGGAATCTGTACCAGGAAGCTGGCCATGGGTTGTGTTTTTACAGGAAGCAACTTGTGGAGGGACACTGATAGGCAAAAGGTAAAATGGAACTCTTTGTTATAAATAGGCTATGTGGGATTCAATTGCTCACATACCTACAATTGTCATATACCTTCAAGTTTACTATTTAAATACATTATATGTCATTATTTTTGATTCAGCCAAACAATTACTGACTGATGAAATTGTCTGCACCAAATAATTGTTGTATTCCCAATTATCAAATGTTATTGTCATTGGTTTTACTACAATATATATAATTGACTTGTGTAGTTCAGGAAGAAGTCCTCTCTCTTTTTAAATCTAATAACAGCATGCTAGAGGTTGCACACCAAGATGTGCATACTGAATATGCTACTCAACTGAATTGTAACAGGCTTAAACTTTCACAGATGGGTTATCACGGCAGCGCACTGTCTCGTTCAGCGTAAATTATCAGATGGAAGTTTTAAATTAAAATTGAATATATCAGAATACTCTGTTATAGCTGGTCGTCACCATAGTACAGCGAAGTCTTATGGTGAACAGGTGTTTGAAGTTAAAAATATAATCATTCATCCAAAGTAAGTACTTCTAAGATAAAATAAGATTTAGGACTTATAATAGGGTAAAAAATGACAGAATTGCATTTGTTGTGATAAATAATATTATGTTTATACTAATTAGTCTCATATATTTTCAGTAAGAGTATTCAGTAGAGATGGGAAACATACTGAGTTGATGTCATTTCCTAAATTCCCATGAATTCTGAAAGAATGAACTACCAATTTTGCAATTAAACCAACTCTAAAAACTACTTCTTTGCATGAATCCCATAGCATTCCAAACACAGAATATAGTATCAAATTCAATTGAGATGCACACATTGTGTCTCACATCAGGTTATTTGTGCATATAGTTTTTGTGGGAACCTACGAGAATCCACTGCGTTACACAATGCAACAACCGTTACCCTTATTTAATGATCACTCAATATACCAGCATAAATCAGCATAAATACTAAGGGCCAACAATATAAGTATTTATATTCTTTATTTCCACCAACTGAGCTAACAATCAAGTAATTTAAAGCCTAAAAGTCAGATTAGCTGCGAGTTGAGCACAACGAATAACAGATAAAAATACTAACAAAATATATAAATATATTAATTTCCTGAAATCAAAATTTTATCAGGTATAATCGAGTCAGGCAGGGCAATGCAGGTAAAACTGTAGAGTATGGTGTCCCCATCCATGATCTGGCATTGATGAAACTTAAGCAAACAGCAAGGTTTACAGATACTGTTTCACCAATTTGTTTACCAACACAGGTATGAAAAACTATATTTCAATCAATCAAATCTATTCAAGCATATTGCACATAGACACTATTTAACATATAGTCAATATTTGAGCATTGTAATGATTTCCGCATAATTTAACTGAAACAGCTGTTTTCAAACATAATTACTTCAAATATATACAAGTAATTTTAAGGCTTGATCAAAAGGCTTGTCTGGCGAAAAGCAAGGCTTCATTGCTCTCCATTCCTCTAGTAAACAACACTGGAGTTAAACATGGATTTGTGCATTGATGCATATTTAAATTTGTGTTATTTCAGATTATTTGTTGTCATTATTTTGTTTTTAGTAATGCATATATATTTTTACCAGGATGTGGTTGTTGGTGAAACATGTGTTATTGCTGGATGGGGAAGTAAGGAAGTTCTTGCAACATTATTTGAAAGAGACAAAGAAACATTATATTATGCTCATGTGTATATTCTTGCAAACTCACTTTGTAACAGTTATGAAGCCTTAAAAAATAGTTTGAGTGATAGCATGATGTGTGCAGGTATGTTCTAGTGATCGTAAATAGGTAAGATCTCCTGAAGTATGCGTACCAAGATATCCTAATACCTATCCAACTACACTGCATTTTAAATTCTAGCCTTATAAATAATTGTTTGGTTTTTAATCGGATCTTCAAATGATTGGCTCGGCAGTATGGCACACCATGCTAAGAGTTAGGAATACTCTCACCTGAATCCTGACCTGATACACAACCCGAGTTCATGTTGAGCGCCATCTTGGTGCGCATACTTCAGGAGATCCTATAGAAGTAACATATATGCAACCTTTGTTAAAATCAGATCTGCTGATTCAGAAATGTATTGAGAATGGATTTCTTTACTGTGACATGTCTGTGGAGGAATATGAGCATTAATTTTTCAATATTTTACTAATTGTCGACTCAAACTCGACATAGCGCTAGGAATATGCTTGCCATGGCATCTCCCATTACCCTGTACAGATTCGAATCCCGTGGGTAATAATTATGTGCATGCATCAAAAACTAATACCTGATTAACTGTTCCCATACCTGACATTACCGTTTTTCCGGACGAGATGCCACGGCTTGTCATATGACTAAGCCCTTCCCACAGGATGAATATGAAAGTCCTATCCTAACTACACTGCATTTTAAATTCTAGCCTTATAAATAATTGTTTGTTTGGTTTTTAATCGGATCTTCAAATGATTGGCTCGGCAGTATGGCACACCATGCTAAGAGTTAGGAATACTCTCACCACCGCATCTCTCTCTCTGATTGCCCTGCATGGGTTCACAGGTTTGAATTCCATGTGGGGATACTTATTTTTTGTGAGAGGATTGTTTCCGAAAAAAAATAGCTGGCTAACTAATACTATACCCGACATATGATTAAGCTATCTTATCGGCTTTCCTCTCCTCGGGATAAATATGTAAATCCTATTTTATATTATACAGGTTACCCAGGTGGAGGAGTGGATTCTTGTAGAGGAGATTCTGGTGGTCCATTGATGTGCAAAGTACCAGGAAAGGGTTATCAAATCAAGGGTGTGGTTAGTTGGGGTCGCGGTTGTGGAAAATCCAATCAGCCTGGAATTTATACACGAGTGTGGCATTACTATGAATGGATAAACACGATTATTCACACTTAATGATTCATTTCCATCTTGTTTTAGTGAGATTTCGGGCAGCAGTAAAATCATTGTTATTGTTAGTTATCCATTTTCATCTACACAAGCCATTTCATGAATGAATGTAAAAAAAATGTAAATCTTATGCATATACTTGTTGTTTTCACAATATTTCTGACTTATTTGACAGGCATACTACCGGTATCTGAAATTAAACAAGCGAGCAATGCTCAAATATATGATCACTGAGATCGCATTTAGGTACGGTATCAGTGAGGTAAAGACAAGGAGTAAATTTTTGGTGAAATACAGATTCCCCTGCGACAATAGAAATTTTATTAGAAAAAAAATAGTAATTGCGGGCTACGGCAGCCTAGTAACGGTGTCTCGAAAATGTCGTGTCCCACGTCTTGTATAGGGTTTTATGCACTTTTAAAATAATTTGATTTTGTACATACAAAAAAAATGAAAATATATGTGATTCACGCGAATATTTTTATTAAATAAAAAGGATTACATATGTATTAGGCCGCGAGCCGAGGCCATTTATCTTTCAGTTTCGTAGCGCACATCAGGTAACTACCTGAAAATGATTTTAAAATGTTCCTTAGAAATTTAGTAACAAATATTGCCTTGTTCCCACTTCCAAAAGTTGCACGTTTTACAGAAAAGACGCTTTTACTACAATAAATATGTGTTACCATCTGTCCTATTTTCTCTGCTTTTCCGGTATCATGGGCCAATGAACGCAGACTACTGCACGACGTAACAGTCAAGTTAGTCAGCTGTAGGTGGATCCCCAGTGGTCGGATGAATATCAGATGTACTCAACTGCTCGCTTTTGCGTTGAGTAGCCTTTCCATAGTTTTTTTCAGTTACCGGTAATATTAGTCCAGTTATTCTAAGGAGGTGTTGAAAAGTATAGGTAAGATATTAAACACTTGTATACCGGTATCCTTGCCATAAATAGCAATTTTAGTTGAGCACTAGCTCATAAGACGTTGTTAAATAGGTACGGTGCGGTAACTCCAAGGAAGGCTAGACCTAGAATAATATGTCACAAACAACCATATTTTCTGGCTTGCATGAAATGTTTATGATTAATTTAATGACTCTTCTTGACTATTCAGCAGACTTATACTACTATATAGGCCACAGCATATTTGGAAATAGAAATGAATGGCTGTTTCTGTAATGCACGGTTGTGTGAAAGAGAAGAAATTAATCAATTTTACTAATGTCGGTTGATCTAAATTCATAGAGTCGACAAGAACCTGGGAAGCAATGATAAGTTATGGCGGAGTGGAAAGAAAGGTAGCATTGGAAATGATTGAGAGGTGAGAAATGAAGTTGTAGACAAACAGTTGATGTTTCAAAATATAGTCTATAGTCCATACTCATACTGTCATAGGACATTTCAGACTGTGATATATCAAAATTTAGTGTAGATATAGTCTAGTAATGGTATGCAAACACTGCTGGACTGTAGAACATGCAATGAGCATATATACGCTCATTTAGTACATCAGATAAAATGCATTATGTATTCAAGGTATTAGTTAGTATTTAGGGGTATTTTTAAAATCATGCTGCTCCAAATATTATTTTCTTGCTTATTTTAGATACCGGTACTGTACTACAAAAGAAAACGGCAATGTTCCACCAATCCGACCAAACGCAGGCTCTGATCCCTGCTGCTATCAGTGCTATAAAATGGATTAAACAAGAAGTCTTGAAGCTTAAAGGTATATGAGAATCATAATAGTTGCAAACAGCTTAGATGGGCTATTCATATTGAAATACTTTAGCACTTTTCTGCAATTGGAACTGCCCATCAAATTCATGTTGGAGACTTCATTGAGATTTTCAATTCATTTTTTCCCTCGACTATGAAGATCTTTCGAGGTTAACGAGGTATTAATAAATAAAGCTGAGGAATTTGAAGAGGATATGAAGAATGTAAATGATACCAGGGCACGTCTATTTAACACTGTCAAACATAAGGATTATACTCTTCACCCAACAATGATTCACTGAAGAAGCATGTGGCCCTCAAATCAGTTCTTGAGTTGGCAAACTGCAAAGAAAAATAGTCAAAATAATTTATGAAAGTGTGCCAAAATCAACTTAAATTGCACAGATTTTTGTTTTTGTATTGACTGCAGAAATCACAGTACACCTATAGAGGAAAAGTCGATTTTTGAGATAGTGGATTTCGAAAACAATTCAGAAGAAAGTGAATTAGATATTACAGTTGATTTAATAAGTATCATACATTTGTTTTGTTTTTCGGACATTTGTTAGTGTCGTAGTCCTGTTTCTAGCAATATTATTGCCTTTGTTCAAATACATAACCACATAAACTAAAAAAAGATTAATTGTAAATTTTAATATTTCTGTTCACTATGTTATGTACATATTGTACATTCATTTAATTTTCTTGACTTTTGCGGTAAATTTCTAAGTGAGAAATAACTGATTTATTTGTGTTTTCGTGCTCACGATGTTAATTTGTGACTTCATTGCTTAAAAATAAATACGTTTGATACTTGATAGCTTCTATAAAATGGATGTAGCTTTTTATGCTGTTCTTGTTGTAAACTGCTTGTGGTTATTACATAAAATTTATTCTCAAATGTGAATCAGCGTTGTTGGTGTCGCTGCTTCCGAGGTCACTCCCGACTCCTGTCACACAATTAAAGTATTTTTTGTTGTTGGTTACATGTATGCCATATTTTTCGTAATCTACCTAATAAATTATGATTGACTGAGGAAGTCCGATTTTGGTCAGGCAAAACATTACAGGAATACATTTGTGTTAGTGTGCTGTAGGGCTCTCGAATTGTATAGTTCTTATGTATGCGTTGTAAACTTATGGTTATTGAATTTCCGGGAACCTCTTATATTCAATTTTGCACCAGGATTGTGGAACAAGCTGTAATGCGTTCATTATGTTCGTTTTCACACAAAACTGAAGAATTTATTTAGTTACCAGATGTGCGCTACGAAACTCATTTTCTGGGCGTTTTCATGGTTTCGTCTCACGGCCCATATCCGTGGTAAGGATCTACAAGTGTTTAATAATTTACTTATACATTTTTCAACAACGTCTTAGCATAACTTAACTAATAATAACTAAACAGGGCTATGGAAAGCCTGCCCAACTCAGCGCAAGGTCGAGCAGAAATAACTAATATTCATCCGCTCGCTAACAGCTGGTTTAATTCAATTGTTACGTCATGCAGAAGTCATTGTTCAGTGCCGAAAATGTAGAGAATATAGGACAGATCGTAGCACATATTTCTTGTAGTAAAAGCGTCTTTTCCGTAAAACGTGCAACTTTTGGAAGTGGGAACAAGGCAATATTTGTTACTAAATTTTTAAGGAACATTTTAAAATCATTTTCAGGTAGTTACCTGATGTGCGCTACGAAACTCACTTTCTAGGCGTTTTTCAGGGCCTCGGCTCGCGGCCTATATGGGTCATTCAAATAGAAGTACGTTGAAACTGTCTGTTCTGCCAGTCTCCAGTGTCAAACGCGAATTGTGAAAGATCGTTCAGTGCTATGAATGCGCTTTAGAACAACAGTACAAAAAAAAAAATTTAATCTCGTCTAAGCTGAAGTGATGATAAAATTGACCTTTCATATGCCATACAGTGGTGGGATTCAGCCGGTTCTATAGAACCGTCTCACGAAATTTTATGAGATCAGCGAACCGGTTAGCATTGCAGGTTACTGTCAATGTTCTGTTTGTAACAGAACCGGCTGGAAAATATGACTTTTGTGAAGGAACCGGCTGACAAAGTTTGAATCCCACCGCTGATGTCATACCTTATGCCTCAAAGATTAAACATTCCACAATTTCTTTGATTGTGATAAAATTATTTAGAGGCTTGGAGTTTGTGAAAATAACGCTGCACGATCATCACTCTTTGACGCGTAGCGCGAACTATTGCTTCTGGTGCCTTTCGTGTTTCTTTGCGTCAATTTTCAAATTCCAGACATTAAGCTAAGTTGGGCCGGAATGGTTGAACACTAGCTACAGTTTTAATTTTATGAAATCTTCCAACACTTTAGAATGTAAATGAGCCCTGTAAATGGATATATATGTGTAAACTTTGCACTGATACTTCAACAGATGATGATAACAGCATATTTTGTGATATACGTGAACAGTGGATTCACTTTAAATGTTCTTTATTATCGTATGGACAATTTCTAAGCCTAATTATTAGTACCACTTCATATTACTGCAGAGTTTTTATAGCTGAAAATCTTTCGGTAGCATAAGATTTTGAAAGCGTCACAGGCTATGCCAATTCCGGTATAAAACTAGATATCTTCCAATGAAACTTCGGTAGCAATTATATAAATACCCAACTGTCATCCAAGCTTTACTTGCTAAGCAAAATGGGGCAATCCACAGGATGCACTTCAATATGTATACTGTACGAAGTTTATACCGTAGCAAAGGAAAAATTAAGTTTTTTCATAGAGACTCACCGACGAATGCTGGTGGCGTCGGGAAACATGTGGGCCTATTAGACAATATTCACGCTAAAGCGAAAAAAATTGTAGTTGGAGTTGTATATAGTCACCCTCCTTATTTCTATTCTGAATTTCAAAAAAGTTTTTTTGCAATGATCTTTCGGCTCAAATCATATGGTTGTAGATCATTTATTCTTGGGGATTTCAATATTGACATTCTTTAATATGACATAGAACACAAAGTTAAAAATTATGCTCTACGTGGTGTTGGATTTATGTGTGGTGTAAACGAGCCTACAAGACTAGGTTTGTGCAACCGTATTTGACCGTATATTTTTTGATGATATGCACTTAGAAACGGTTACGAATATTGTAACTGATTATTTGTCGGATCATTTTCCCTTACTAATAGAAACAAAACTAAAGTGTAAAAAATCTATAAGAAAAAAAAAATATGCTCATTTTTTGTCAAAAAATTATCAAATCAAACTTAAATACAGATAAAGATACTAACTCCAATTTTTTCATACTTTTATTTAAGCAATTAAAGAAGTTATAAATATGTGCCATTAAAAACTTTGTACAGAAAAGAGACCAAGGTGAGAATAAAACATCGAATTACTGATAGCTTGCTGAAATCAATTTGAGTAAAAAAATAAA